CTCTTCATTGCTCTACATCGTTGTGAACGCCCTCGTCATCGTTAGTTAAGTCGACTCAAAATGGTCCAAATCTACAAAATATTATCGAAATATGAGTATTAAGCTGTTATGAAGAGCAATCTAAAGACTTTTTGGAAAAATAATGGCAAAAAGAAATAAAGAAAAAATTATACGAAAATTTACGAGAGTTTTACCTGGAAACGGTCCACAACTTCTGCTCATAATGGCCTCAGTCTTTACCACTATACCATGATGGCAACGATGGAAACAGCTGACATATTGCAATAGTTCAATATTCTTTGTTTGCAGTTCTACTTGAGGTATGTAAATTTTTTGCATTTCACCCTGGACAAGACTTCTCTTCAGAGTTGTTCATCCTTGTTCATCTCTCGTCATCCTTGGTTAAATCGACTCAAAATTGTCCTAATATACACAAAAATATCTAAAAATGAATATTCAGATGTTAGGAGGTGCGATTTAGAAACTTTTTTGGAAAAATAATGGCAAAACGAAATAAAAAAAATTATAGGAAAAGTTACGAGAGTTTTACCTCGGAACGGTCCACAACTTTCGCTCATGATCGCCTCAGTCTTTACCACTATGCCACGATGGCAACGATGAAAACCGGAAGGCTAACAGATTACAAAACTTCAATATTCTATTTTGGGTTAACCTAGCTGCATGTATATGCAGATTTATTGGATTTCACCCTACATACGATTCTCTTCATCGCTCGACATCGTTGTGAACGCCCTCGTCATCGTTAGTTAAGTCGAATCAAAATTGTGCAGATCTACAAAATATTATCAAAATATGAGTATTTAGCTATTATGAAGAGCAATTTAAAGACTTTTGGGAAAAATAATGGCAAAAAGAAATAAAGAAAAAATTATACGAAAAGTTACGAGAGTTTTACCTGGGAACGGCCCACAACTTTCGCTTAGGATGGCCTCAGTCTTTACCACTATACCATGATGGCAACAATGGAAACCGGTAGGCTAACAGATTACAAAACTTAAATATTCTATTTTGGGTTAACCTAGCTGCATGTATATGCAGATTTATTGGATTTCACCCTACATACGATTCTCTTCATCGCTCTACATCGTTGTGAACGCCCTCGTCATCGTTATTTAAGTCGACTCAAAATTGTCCAAATCTACAAAATATTATCAAAATATGAGTATTAAGCTGTTATGAAGAGCAATTTAAAGACTTTTGGGAAAAACAATGGCAAAAAGAAATAAAGAAAAAATTATACGAAAATTTACGAGAGTTTTACCTGGAAACGGTCCACAACTTTCGCTCATGATGGCCTCAGTCTTTACCACTATACCATGATGGCAACGATGGAAACAGCTAACACATTGCAATAGTTCAATATTCTCTGTTTTCAGTTCTACTTGATGTATGTAGATTTTTTGCATTTCACCCTGGAAAAGAATTCTCTTCAGAGTTGTTCATCCTTGTTCATCTCTCGTCATCCTTGGTTAAATCGACTCAAAATTGTCCTAATATACAAAAAAATATCTAAAAATGAATATTCAGCCGTTAGGAGGTGCGATTTAGCCACTTTTTTGGAAAGTTAATGGCAAAAAGAAATAAAGAAAAATTATACGAAAAGATACCAGAGTTTTACCTGGGAACGGTCCACAACTTTCGCTTAGGATGGCCTCAGTCTTTACCACTATACCATGATGGCAACCATGGAAACCGGTAGGCTAACGGATTACAAAACTTCAATATTCTATTTTGGGTTAACCTAGCTGCATGTATATGCAGATTTATTGGATTTCACCCTACATACGATTCTCTTCATCGCTCTACATCGTTGTTAATGCCCTCGTCATCGTTGGTTCAGTCGACTCAAAATTGTCCAAATCTACAAAATATTATCGAAATATGAGTATTAAGCTGTTATGAAGAGCGATTTAAAACTTTTGGGAAGAATAATGGCAAAAAGAAATAAAGAAAAAATTATACGAAAAGTTACGAGAGTTTTACCTGGGAACGGTCCACAACTTTCGCCCATGCTGGTCTCAGTCTTTACCACTATACCATGATGGCAACGATGGAAACAACTAACATATTACAATTCTTCAATATTCTCTGTTTTGCGTTCTACTAGCTGTATGTAGATTTTTTATTTCACCCTAGATAAGACTCTCTTCATCGTTATGCATCGTTGGTTCATCCCTCGTCATCGTTGGCTAAATCGACTCAAATTGTCCAAATATACAAAATATTATCAAAAAATGACTATTAGGTTGTTATGAGGGGCGATTTGGAGTCTTTTGGGAAAAATAATGGCAAAAAGAAATAAAAAAAATATATACAAAAAATTACGAAAATTTTATCTGGGAGCGGTCCACAAATTCGCTCATGATGCCTTCATTGTTTACCACTATACCATCATGACAACGACGGTAGCATGTAACAAATTACAAGACTTCAACATTCTATATACCGCTTGTGCTAGCTGTATGTAGATTTTTTTATTTCACCCTAGATAAGACTCTCTTCATCGTTATGCATCGTTGGTTCATCCCTCGTCATCGTTGGCTAAATCGACTCAAATTGTCCAAATATACAAAATATTATCAAAAAATGACTATTAGGTTGTTATGAGGGGCGATTTGGAGTCTTTTGGGAAAAATAATGGCAAAAAGAAATAAAAAAAATATATACAAAAAATTACGAAAATTTTATCTGGGAGCGGTCCACAAATTCGCTCATGATGCCTTCATTGTTTACCACTATACCATCATGACAACGACGGTAGCATGTAACAAATTACAAGACTTCAACATTCTATATACCGCTTGTGCTAGCTGTATGTAGATTTTTTTATTTCACCCTAGATAAGACTCTCTTCATCGTTATGCATCGTTGGTTCATCCCTCGTCATCGTTGGCTAAATCGACTCAAATTGTCCAAATATACAAAATATTATCAAAAAATGACTATTAGGTTGTCATGAGGAGCGATTTGGAGACTTTTGGGAAAAATAATGGCAAAAAGAAATAAAAATATATATATACAAAAAGTTACGAAAATTTTACCTGGAAGCGATCCACAACTTTCGCTCATGATGCCCTCATTCTTTGGGATCATTTCAGACTATAGCGTGTACCGGTGTACGTGTGTAGGACGACTCATTTTATGCTTGTAGCCAAATGTTTCATCGTGAAAGGGTATTTTTTTGAGGAAGTATACATGACATTACTTGTAAATGACAAATATATATATGGGATTCTATTGTATATATATAAAATTATCGCCGAACACATGTAGACCCTGGGCTTAGACCTGCGTTTTCATAATCTATGCCTCGTAAGAGCAAGTCGCGCAATTGCTAGCATGTTAATAAAATAAATGTAGCTGACAGAAGCCGAACAGTTCATGGCATGTGCTCACATTGCGCATGTAGTATGGCTCCAAAAACCTTCTACCATGGACGAATATTGGTAGGTTTATGCTGTTCGTAGCTACTTCAGTGGATAACATAATGCGCTTAAAGGTGATCTACAGTCCGTATGTAAACAAAGCCTTTGTTTACATTTTTGTGTCCAAAATATTGAGCTTTATTCGACAACTATTTATATTTTCAAGCTTCTAGAGTATAATAAATAATCAAGAAACAACAATCAGGCTTTTCAAGAACTCAAAACATAGTTAAACTGTTTGTATCATAAAAAGTGGGCTCATTTGTGCACATGCGCAGATCGGACTGTAGATCACCTTTAAGTATATAAATAACGAAATGAAACGCACTCACCGGTTTAAAGTTGAACAGATGTGGTTAGAAAGTAGCCGTTTCCCAGGTTCTGAACGTCGGGACTTGGAAGCTTCTATATATCCGAGAAAAAGGTAGTAGCACGGGGATTCGTGTACGGAGAATTTTCCTTTTATGTTGTCTCGAAGACCGTTGAAACCAGAGTGAACTGAGATAAAATTTGGCTAGCTTTTGCTGATAACTGAAGAATGTCGGCTTAGCAAAATGGGATTATATTGGCAGTTTGGCATTGACGCTTGGCAGATATTGCCCGGAGAGCAAAGCGGTTGTTTTCTTTGCTTATCGTTTCCGTTTAGGTTACATAGTTTTCGGTATGGATGTTGCCTCTTATTAATCCTAATTTATTTTTTAAATAAATTGCTCCTTAGCACCTGAAATGTTGTTGGCAAATGCGATACAACCGCCCCCCCCCATGCTTTACCCCGGCCCAGAGAGGAGTTTCCTCATTTTATGCATGCTCATTGCTCAAATTAGTTTATATCCAAAACTTCACGTTGTTTGGACAGTTTGGTGGCGAGTTATAACACGTCGAATGTGGAGTTTTTTGTATAGATTTTGACAGGAATGAACACGAATCGTTTCAAAGCTTTATAATTCGCAACCAAACAACGGTACATTTCGCGTTTGATTTCAAACCAAATTGTAGTCCACTTCATACTATCATATGAACATCTGAACTACATCAACACAAAAACAAATACCTTGGAAGCAGACACACCAGACGTATTGGGCTATTACATTAACCCCCCCCCCCTGTCGAGGACCTCTGCTTTTGGGGATTTTTACCCCTCTGGAATGCAAAAAAATCTGTGTAATTGACCCCTCTGGAAGAGACTTGAACCCCCTCTGCCCTCTGGAAGTGCATTTTTACTTTTTAACCCCTCTGGAAAGAGCATTTTTCTTCCATTTTTCCCAATTACCCCTCTGGAAAAAATTACTAATTTTCCCCCTTGGAAAATGAGGTCCTCGACAGGGGGCACGGGTATTAAATGTAATAGCCCATTTGCAGCAATTTCCAAACAGATTTTATATCAAAGTTTGAACCACATGGAAGCGACAAGGCGTTGCAATTCAATTGCTATAAATACGAGTTCCTTCTTTTCAGACGATTCCCAGGTTGCTTGAAAGAGCTACGAACATACTGTTGCCCATTTTGCAAAGATTAGTTGTTATATTTGCATAAAATATATAAAAAAATGATTTAGGACGAAATTTTCTATTCAAAGTTCAATCTTTCCGCAATTCTAATTCCCGGATTTTCAAAACAATGAAAAGACAATGGAACATTCTGATCACTACAACATACAAGACTTTTATATTTTTACTTTACATAATTTAAAAACTGTTTCATAGCTAGTGTTCACGTTACACAGTTTCAGAGAGCCAAGTTAGTGGAATAAATTCATATTTGGTCCGTCGTTCTGAATTGTAACAGCGACTGAGTCAAAGCATTTGAGACGTGGAAGGCGACAGATGCATCGTCTTCATTCTGAACAAGTTTAGTCTAAAAAAATTGAAGTAAAGTTTTGAAGCGAGGATGAAGGTTTGCATGAGTGACTGGTACTGCAGTAAATACAAAATACACAAACTTACCAGATCACCAAGAGCAGCCGCTAGGTTGGCAGAAATACTTGACTAAAAAAACAGAACATAAAATTACAGTCAGGTCAACAATGTCTGTCTGGCTACAGTAGACACAAGATTCACTACGTAGAAAGATATAAAACTTCACAGAATACAAGAAAATAGTTTACTTTAGCTTCCAATCCACTGGATGGCTCATTTTGACTGGAGTATGATTGTCCATTGTTCGAGTATGACTGACTGGAGTATGAGTGACCGGAGTGAGCAGCTGTGGAGTAAGGTTGTCCACCAGCATAGTGAGATTGGCCGCTGTCATAGCTGAAACAAATAAACAAGGCAACTATTATTCATACTGGCCACAGTCCGAACAGTATCAGTTCTAAACAGTTTTCCCTAAAGATCCAGTAACGATCATCTCTTATAATGACATAAAATAAAACATACAATAACAAGCGTAAAAAGAACATGATCTTAGTTACAAAGCAATCATGAAAAAACTGACCTCTGTTGATAGTTTCTGCCATAGTCAGGATTTTCAAAATTTGCATTATATGCAGAGTTGTATGACAAGTTACTGCCGTACAAATTATTTGCATAAGAATCACTATATGTCGAGTAGTTATCATGTCCTGCTTGCGTGGAGTATTGTCCCATGTTGTACCCCCTTCCTCTGGAATTTGACATCCCTTTGTTACCACGTCCACCTCTTGTTGTACCTCGAGTACCACGGTTACCCCCTCTACCACGCTTGATTCCCCGACCTGAGAAAAGAACATATGAGGTTGATAACCAGACTAATATAGCTTGTTAATATAGCTTAAAGGGAAATGGCAATATATTTTTTTATTTTCTCATTTGAAAGAACTTTTGAAACTATTTAATAACTTCTTTTACCGATTCTTCATATCTTGCTTAGTTCTTGAAATATTTTCACTTCAAGTAATGAGATGTCAGCCATCTTGGATAAAATTTTGATCTCATTAACGGTAGTTTTGGTGACGTCACAACAGGGATTAACCATATAAAAGTATTCGTTACTGACCAAATTTTGATTGGTAGATGTTTTAAACGTTTCAAGTGATTTTGATATTTCCAAGAGCATACAGAGTATAATTTTGAGTGCAAAATGATTAGTGGTTGTCTAGATAAAAATATTGCATGATCCCTGTTGTGACGTAACATGCATATCCACAAAAATCCAAGATGGCGGACATTTGATTTCTTTCGATTAAAATATTTGTAGAAGTAAGCAAGATATGAAAAAACGGTGAAAAAGTTCTATATATGGTTTTAAATGTTCTTTCAAACGAGAAAATAAAAAAATATATTGCCATTTCCCTTTAAATGAACGTGCGTTTTAGTCTATTGAACATGGCGCAACGAATCTTCCGATCTGTATCTTTACCAAATTTTTAGTGAAGAAAGCCAATAAAATGCTGATTTCGAAAATCTTCATTTGATGGGTGTTCTGTTTAAACATGTCCAGTATTGGCTGACCAAAGAAATACATAAGTATCCCATAAAAAAATCAAAATATATTTATAGTTTACCTCAACGTTTGTCTACATATATCGATTTGAATCTTCATAGGTATGGTAAAAAAAACGTGTGCGGAAAATTTCTCTTCTTCAATGGTTTTTCTGATATGACGTTTTCTTTGACAACTTCGTGAATTATCACGTGACAAATCCAAGAATCAGGGCATATCAGAAAAACCACTAAAGAAGAGAAATTTTCCGCACACGTTTTTTTTACCATGCCTATGAAGATTTGAATTGCGATATCTAGACAACCGTTGAGGTAAACTATAAACATATTTTGATTTTTTTTATGAATGTACCTACATATTTACTCAGTCAGCCAATACTGAAAATGTTTAAACAGAACACCCATCAAATAAAAATTGTCGAAATCAGCATTTTCCTGGCTTTCTTCACTGAAAATTTGGTAAAGTTACACCTAAAAGTCGTTGAGCAATGTCCAATAGACTAAAACGCACGTTCATCGTGTGAAGTAACCTTAACTAACTGAAGCTTGTTGTCATCAAATTGTTAACAACTTGTTATGTGTGACAGCCTTTGCTGGAACAACTTGTTGCAAGTCTGCTGGCCTCACCAACCTTGTAACAAGGTGATAACAACTTGTTCCAGACTTGTCAACAAATGGAAACAAGCAATGAGAGCATATCTTGTTGACAAATTGTGAGATTTTTACAATTGTATACATTATCAAGCACATGATAGGTAATGATGGGGAGAACTTGATATGCTAAACACACTGTTTGATCTTCTTTGCAACACTAAATGAAAAGCTTGATGTTTGACAAACCTGCCGGAACTGTCTTTGGAAAGGTGGATTTAATTTGTTGCCTGCCTTCGTCCACCTCAAGTTTTGTCGCTTCTCTCAACAAGATTGGAGTGACCTCAGAACGTTTCTTACTGTTTGGATCTAGGTCTTTTACAACCTCAGGACGCTTGGCTTTCTGTATGAATAGAAATGGTCTCAGAGAGCGACTGTAAGAACTATCCTTAGAGAACAAAATTTGTCGCAAGATTTGCAACAACAACTTACCAACACATTCAATCGATGTTTCTGGCCAACCAAGTGAGGAAACTTAAGATTATCATCAAATTTCACATCACAGATAGAACAATGATACCACCGAATTTTACCATTTGGTTGTGTCTCTGTTACATATTCCAAACCTGTGTTGGTTAAAAAATATCACAGGTTATATTACAAAATAGGATTTCATTCTAACATTTTTCACTCTGTGATTTTAGTGTGCAAACAAAAAAAAAATTGTTCAGGAAATTAAAATGTTTGCCTAATGCAAGACATCATACTCATCAAAGGAGTCGAGAGCACTGGCACTCAATGTGTTAAAAGTTACTGTACCTATCAGTGGCTGTGGATAGGTGGAAAAGTCGTTTTCTTGAGGTGCTTGGATATTCCTTGATTGTTGTTTGTTGTTTGGTCTGAGGTCATAAGGTTTCTTGTTGTGTATGTTACCAAACTGGTTATTTCGAATTGGTCCACCTAATAAACACAATTTGGTACAATGGTGATGCATGCATAAGTGAAGAGCAGGGACATATTAAGAGAGGATGTGAAGGGCGGGGGGAGGGGGAAGCCTTCAAAATCTGGTTTTAGCAGATTCAAGTTGGGCTAGAAAACTTGAACATAAATGACAACAAGTCTGACATCCATGTTGACAGAAACATTGCTTGCTTTAAAGTTCCCTATTACATAATGAATGACCCCAACTGGTTTACGAGACATGATTAGGACGTACCTGCATTCTTTCTCTTCCCATACATTTGTTCTTGCTGTTCTTCCTTGGTCTAGGAAACAACATAATAAAGTCAATAATACCCTTACAAAAAAGTCAATAGGCCTAGCATATAGGCCAACCAATAGGAAACCTACAGTATAGGTTTTTATAGGCAATTGGAACATTTTCTATGGGTGACCTATAAGGATTCCTATAAGCCTATAAAGCTCTATGCCATAGGTGCCTAAAGGCTTCTGGAACATTTCCAATAGGCATCTATGGACTTTTTACACACAAAATGTTAATAAAACATTAGTTAGATTTATACCCTTCGATGTCTGCTTCCCATTAAGTGTGCATTCCAAGGTATATAGCCACAGCAGGTGACGTCACAAACCTAAACAATTATAACACTTTATTTATTGACAAAACAATGTCATGTTAAGAGTCAATGTCAATACGTCTTTTTATTCATTAACCCATTAAGCTGCAGAGCTTCCCCATTGACGAGTAATGGCGCCTGGCGTTTATAGACAAATAAAATAAATGAGTAGGCCACACTGGGACACATTGCGGCTTGATGCGTTAACTAGAGACATTGTCAGATTTTTTGGTTAAACAGAATCAAAAACGTTTATAATCAAATTCTTCATTGCGCAAATATTGTACCTCACAAGTGATGTTGGTAAGAATTGGATCAACTGCAACACGGACTTTCATTGCTTCAGCAACCTTCTTCACATGGGATGGTTTCAGAACATGTACAGCAAACATCTACAATAATACGATGCATTTAGCACAACAATTTTCAAAACATACATTCTGAAAATGTACCATATTTTTACTATTCACATCAATATAATGTGCACCGACCTTCCCTGTTGACCTTAATTCAGCAACTAAACAACTGGCAGCCGGTCACAGTCAAATACTAAATGGCCAGCAATAGTGAGTTTTGTTAAATATTAAAATGTTTGTTTGCGCTAGCTTTTACCGAGCTTGCCATTAGCGTATATGGTACGCCAGATTGTAAAGTTTGGAAACTGCGCGCGGAAGATTTCGAAAATTTAATAGTAAATATATAGAAAGCATAAAAAATGCGCGCGGAAGATCTTCCGCGCGCGGTGGAGAAAATGCAGTCTGGATGGTACGTAAAGGTGCTGCATGCGGAAAGTGAAATGCAGTTCAGACGTCCAGTTCGGATTGTGTTTAATCAGACTTTCTTTTTCCTTAAAATTTTTGGACAGCTATTAATTATAGGTAATGATAATATACTGCCATTCTAATGAATTTCCAAACTCTCTTTTCTATTATAAACTATGAATTAACAGAGATACATGAGTTAGTGTAGAAAGTCAATGTAAAAAGGTTGATACCGGCCAATCTGGAGCTTGATAGTTGCAATGTTTACAACATCTCATTTCTTCATCTGTTGCAGCTTCTTCAGCTTCATCCATAGCAAGAGAAGGAACATCATCATTTGAAATGTCATTCTCCGACGTATTTACGCTTTCTGCTTCCATATTTTCTCCCAAACAGAACTGTTTAATACTTACTGACGCTTGGATAATGATGAAAGTTCAATAATTCCGCTTTAAAACATTTAAAAAGAATTAAAAGATGAAAATATCGAGGAAAATATTAAAATGTCTGCTTTGCTTTTTCTATTCCTAACATTTAATGCTTCCGCTTGCCTGAATCCAAATTTCATTGCTGGAAAATTTCCTTTGGAAAATTTCCTTTGATGATCCTCACTGGACCCCTGGATCCAGGGACCGCGTAGCCTGTTTTGAGGTGTGTGTGTGTGTGTGTGGGGGGGGGCAGGATAGTACGGGAGCTATTCCACGCAAGCAGGCTGAATTTTATCCGGTAATTTTTTATTATCCACCAAAAAAGTGGGGGGGGGGGCATGGCCCCCGGCCCCCCTGTTCCGCGCTCCCTGCGATCTAATCATTCTCATGACAAAGATATAAATAAAGCTAGTTTAGTTTAGGTCTTGTCAGTTTTATTTTTGTCTTTAGTTTAAATAACTAGGTCTACAATTTAAGGTAGAATATTTTATATTTGCATACAGTATGTACAGCTTATACTTATACAAGAACAATTAAAATTTGTAGTGATTGTCCGAGCGTCTAAATTATGCAGAGTCCATGAGCTCCAGCAAATCGTCGCCTTTGCTACCTAAAAGAGAAAGAACAGAATTGATGGTATGGTGTTTCTACGTCTGTGAGACAACAATACTCTGATTAGAAACAAGCTTTCCTTGGTAGACCTTGTTAGGGGTGCAAGAACGTACAGGCCGAAACTTAGAACGCGATTCGACAACGCAGCGCGATTTTTCGATTTTCACTGACCGATAACTTTGATCCTGGTTGAAGTTTTCCAAATATTTAGAAGCGCTATAACATTTTGAGTTATTGGATCTAAATACCTTTCAAAATTTCTCTTCATTGGCTGTTTTCTTAACTTTCAAAACCTGAAAAATCGCGCAGCATTGTCAAACCGCGCGTCCGGTGTTCTTCTGTAGTAACATTAGACCAGTAGGTCCTTACTGAACCTCTATGCAATAAGAGATGGGCCTTACTGAACCTCTATGTAATAAGAGATGGGCCTTACTGAACCTCTATGCAATAAGAGATGGGCCTTACTGAACCTCTATGTAATAAGAGATGGGCCTTACTGAACCTCTATGTAATAAGAGATGGGCCTTACTGAACCTCTATGCAATAAGAGAGTCTGTTGATCCTTACTGAACCTCCAGACAATAAGAGTCTGTTGATCCTTACTGAACCTCCAGACAATAAGAGATGGTCCTTACTGAACCTCCAGACAATAAGAGATGGTCCTTACTGAACCTCCAGACAATAAGAGATGATCCTTACTGAACCTCTATGCAATAAGAGAGTCTGTTGATCCTTACTGAACCTCTAGGCAATAAGAGAGTCTGTTGATCCTTACTGAACCTCCAGACAATAAGAGATGGTCCTTACTGAACCTCTATGCAATAAGAGAGTCTGTTGATCCTTACTGAACCTCCAGACAATAAGAGATGGGCCTTACTGAACCTCTATGCAATAAGAGTCTGGAAGCAATAACAGTCCATATGTGCAGCAATTTCTCTTACAGTATTAACCATTTTTGTTTGAGAAGATTTTTCTTTGTGTGTTAAATGTCACGCTAGGAAGTAAAAATACGAATATTGAAAACGTTAATAAATCCTACCACTGCTTGTGGATCCATCAATAGAGAACTCGTCCATTAGCTTCGTAAGTTCGTTACGTTGACCAGCCTAGAAAAACAATACCTATAGATATCAGCATTGGTTAAGTAATGAAAAATGAGCGATTCAAAGAAGTGTATTACTTTCGTGGCATCGACAGTGATGACTTTTCCTGAATGTTGCTTGACACGACGAACTTCAGCTTTCCTACATAACAAACACAAGAGGAATTTTTAAGACGTTATCTTGCCAGTCATGTTCTTATGTATTGGTGTGAAATGACCTTTGTTGTTTGTCTGTTCGAAAGAATTTGATGAACATTTGTGTAAGGCATACAATTTGGTTAAAAGTCAAGATACAGTAAAGGTGTATTATGCAGATGAATATTAAAAGAACACGTCAAGGTACGCAGTCAATTTCTTAGTACGCCAGCCTCTTATGAAGGGACAGGCCTGTTCCGTCAACTTACTGCTCTTCTTCGTCAGTGCTGAAAAGATTGAGTCGGAATGTGTTGCCTGGAAACAAAAACATCAAGTTGTAGTTTTAAACGGACAGGGTGAACAATTTCGCTCTCGAACTAGGTGAATATAATGCAGAACTCGATGTAGTTGCTTCGATATCTGAAAATATCTTATGAGACACTCGTTGCGCCAGGGAACGCCTGATAATTCTTGCACCTCCCCTGAGTTCTCTCAAAAGTCATACACCTCCCCTTGAAAAAGTTTCAATAATAGATCAAAGTAAAAATTTGACATTTTTTGGCTTAGGGTCTACACTTCGTAAGACGTTTTTATGTAAAAATTGAAACAGTGTTAGCCATTCGGCTCTGTGTCAAGTACCCTTTTAATGTTTTGAAAGAAACTTAATTTGTAGTAATTGTAATGAAGGGCAAAATTGGGTGAGTTGTACAGTCATAATTCATTAAGACACTGATACATATGCTACATGTATACGTGATGTCGTTAACTTTGGCCCATTCTAAGCCCTAACTTTCCATGGGGGTGGTGAGCTAGACTGCTACACCTCTCCTAAATGTTCCCCGATTTCCACCAAAATCCGGCCTTGAGAGACAAGAAACGTATTTTCAATGCAATCATCGTCGTTCAACGGCATTCGTACCTTTACTTGGGTTATCACTGCCTCCCATTAAGTGAGCGAGAAGATTTAGTTCAGCTTTGGCGATAGGATTGGGATTCTCTGTTGATTCCTTGAGGGTTGAAAGATGCATACATGTAGTAAGATTGTGTAGTAAAAAGATAAAGATTTGTTCCAGTGATACTCACAGCTTCAGTAAGCGTAGTCATCGACCCACTTCTGCTGGTTTCTTGAGCGGATATTTTAGAAGGAGATGTCTCAACGGGTCTGGCGGCTGTGTACCTGAGCGGAATACATATAGTGTTAGTTGTTATGCTTGGAGGTACATAATACATCTGTCTTTCAACTCCGTGACCAGGCTTGGACAGTTGTTTCATTTGAAAAGGCAGTTCTGCTATTTGAAAAGGGAGTTCTGCTATTTGAAAAGGGAGTTCTGCTATTTGAAAAGGGAGTTCTGCTATTTGAAAAGGGAGTTTTGCCATTTGAAAAGGGAGTTCTGCTATTTGAAAAGGGAGTTCTGCTATTTGAAAAGGGAGTTCTGCTATTTGAAAAAGGAGTTCTGCTATTTGAAAAGGGAGTTCTGCTATTTGAGAAGGGAGTTTTGCCATTTGAAAAGGGAGTTTTGCCATTTGAGAAGGGAGTTTTGCCATCTGAAAAGGGAGTTTTGCCATTTGAGAAGGGAGTTTTGCCATCTGAAAAAAAGAGGTGCAGTGAGGTTAATTATAACATAGTGCCAATATCACAAGTTGTTGTAAAAACTTACATGTTCATTCCTAGAGTGATGACTCTATCACCAAACAGTTCAAAAGATCCTTGCTTGTCAGATAAATGATGTTTACATCCGCTATCAAACTCATTCGTCTTAAACACTTTACCATTTTCATCGTAATATCTAGAGGAAGGAAGTTCATTATCATGCATCAAAACTTAGTCCTGTGTTGGACGAACTCAAACTGTAGATGAACGATTGGCTTTTTATTATGTGTCATTAACTGAAAAGCAAAATTTCAGACTAAATTTTCCTGGACCCATAAAATAATTAAGACACTGTAAAGAGGTCTCGTCCACGCGTACATAGACATCTCGCAGCTTGTCAACAAGATATGTTCGCACTGCTTGTTCCCAGTTGTTGACAAATCTGGTACAAGTTGTTATCATCTTGTAACAAGGTTGATGAGGCCAACAGACTCGCAACAAGTTGTTCCAACAAGTCTGATATCGTCTGCACGTAACAAGTTGTTAACAAGTTGATGACAACAAGCTCGTAGCAACTTGTTACGAACAGCCTGTATTAGTCTTGTTGGAACAACTTGTAGCAAGTCTGTTACCGTCATCAACCTTGTAACAAGATGATAACAACTTGTTCCAGACTTGTCACAACAACTGCAAACAAATAGTGCGAGCACATCTTGTTGACAAACTGTGAGCATGATCCTATTTTAGCATTAGTGTGCATTTGGGAGTAAATTTGTAGTTTAGCAGCTGGTGACTAACTCTGACATGAATGCATTGCATCATAAAACATACAATGTCTCTCTTACCTAATTGTTCCTGGAACTTCTGAAGTGAATGGAACAGCCCCATCAGTGGCCAATACAAATTTGCCGTTTGTGTTTTGAACTCTGTCTTTCAAAAATATTGAGACCTACGTGCAAGGTTCAAAATTGTGCATTATGCATACATTGCATAGATTTGAGAAAACATTTGAATATTGACTATTTTTCATATTTCAATGGTCAGTTATAACAGGGTTTGGAGGCAAATCTTATCCACATTACATGATAAAAAAACACTGCACAATATTACTCCATGGATGGCATTTAAGTTGCTGCGAATCGGGTGGATATAAAATGGAAAAGGCGATCTGTTACTACAGACTTACCCGGATATGAAGGTCTTGCAAGAATGCAAGCAGTGACTGCCGGATAAGTTGAAATTGGCCTAAGCTCAGAGAGGCATAGTTCTAGAAAAAATATGATTTTAATTAGATGGGCCTGTAGATTGTAAGCACTATCCCCTTGACAAGTTAAATCATTTGGTACTGGGGCACAATGTAACTCAATGGGTTGATCAAGACACATACATGAGTAGATAGTCTGATTAAACCAATGAGTGCCAGAACTCATCCCATTGATGAATAAATTTAAATAATCTGTCATTACATTGCACCATTATTATTTACTCTGTCTAACACCAGATGATTTTACTTGTCAAGGGGAGAGCACTAGCTGGTGCTCAATGGATACACAAAGCCAGGTAATCTAATTAATGCCACCACTTTCCCCTTAACAAATAAAATCATCTGGTAAAAGTACTGTAAAGTACCATGTACCCATGCTAGTGGGTTGATGTTATAGATGATTCCCATGCAGCACAGTACCTGGTAAAGTAATTTATAAACATTATGCACTAGTTCCATCACATTATCATTGCCTTCAACAAACTTTCTCACAGCATCCATGTGATTCAATGTAATGAGGAGGATATCTCGAGGACTCATGCTCAATAAAACCTACGAGAGAAATGTTTAGCATCATTAGCTTTAATAGGTTAGAAAGGTACAGCTAGGGTATATATATCTCTCCTCTGTGACAAAAGCACACATGCTTAGCTTTGGTGTATTTTAGGCGTCATTTGACAATGAGTAGTTTCAAGTGAATTGCGCAAAATCGTGACGTGTATGTGATACCTGATATTTCAATGCCATAGTCATAAGATCATATAACTACAAAAAATAATCATTACAATAATTAGTCACAAATTAAGAAACCCATAGCATGAAATTGCATGCCTGTATGTATGGCAAATAAATTAGTCATAATGCAATCATACCTTGTCCATACTGGCTGAGTTAAGTCTCATGATGGAAGCATGCGCAAGTCTATCAAACACAGTTCTCATTGCTTTCTTGGAATACGCATCTTGGGGCTTGAATAATTCTTCCATAAATCTTTTATTAAACATACTGCCAATTATATCGTGTAGAACTAATAAAAATAAACAATTTGGTACAAAAATTACCAGTAAGTAAAAGCTTGAGAAAACATCACCACCCTGAGGAAATTGGAACCCCTGCCCCCTTTGAACATCATAGTACGGGAGTCTGCGTCTTTTCTGGAACGAGTTTTTGGCATTTTCTATATATTGACCAGGAAATTTTCAATTTCTAATCTTTCCAAACAGTGGAACCAAAACATCCTAGGCATTCATATAAACACAAAGTAATTTTACTATAGAAAAAAACTATGTGGTGAGGTCTTGCCAAGCCAGGTCACAGAATACAGACACACAGAAGGTTGACTCAGTCAAAAAAGCATAACCAATGACACGCCACAATTCGTCATCACAATGCTGACGCCATGGGCACAGATGATAGATAATACCAGATGTATCACTCTATACCTATAACTACAATTTTCGTGTACGCGATTTTTGCGAAGCTATCATGCCAGATGACGCATGCAACACTAATTACTGCCAAAATGGTGCTTACTGCCAAAATATGTGATTGCTCACGTTTCATGGCGTGGATTACACTTACTGCCAAAATGGCTGCCAATGCGTGCTCATAATTTTGGCTGAGTGAGACATCTGGTATTATCTATCATCTGTGCCATGGGCTAGTGTGCTTATGAGAGGCATTCCCCCAGGACATCTGCCATTTTCAATATTATCAGGGGGTGAATGCCTCTCACAAACACTCTGGCTATAGGACCATGGGTCAACAATTTGACGACGAATTACGGTTATACCAAAATTATAGGAAAACCAAGAAGTCTGACTTGTGTATAGTCTCTATACCATGGCCAGGTGTTACAATTACAGCTTTGTCTTGTTGTCTAAACAACCCAGCAACCTCAAACCAAAACAAACTATTCTCATTTATAAAATAAACTCAACTGATGCTTTCACAAACATTTAAACAATAATCCAGCATTATTTATTACAAGATTAAGCAAAATACATAAAATGACAGATTAAAAATGACTGATAAAATTTATACACAAACGGGACATTGAAATATTGCTGCATGATATTTGCAAGATTTCTGCAGGTTTTTGAGACGATATTTATTAAAATACACCTATGAAGGCAATTTCTTTTATATTTTCTTACCTTTTTGTGCTTTTACTTGTGGAATAGACTGTGCTCGAAGCCTCTGGTCTAGAATATACAGCATTTCACCTCCGAGGTTCAAGAATAATATTGGCAGAGTCCTTGTTGACATTTTGATGCAGCTCAAATAAATATAATTTATGTCCAAACGGGGGCAGCTTTTAACCAAATAATGAGGTATAAATGATGAATTACAATTCCCACAGAAAAAACAACAGTTCCTTGTGGTTGACAAGTGTTTAAATCATGATTTTTGAACAGAATTTGCAGACAGGACGCCAGACATGAAGCTTCTTGCAAATACCAGCAGGTGTCTTGTTAAGGTGGCTCTGTCGTGCTAATTTCAAGTTTTGCTGAAGTCATCAAATTATTCAAATACACTTGACCCACAATATTATCATGAAAAAAAGAAAGACAACTAGAAGTTATTTTCACACAAAACTATTTACAGAGAACTAAACTTCACCTTGTTTAGTGCTAACGTCTTTATATATACTAATAGGCATATAGGCATGCAATATTTTCAGACTATTTGACCCCTCTGATCTCGAAATTAAAACTGGATACTATATATGGCGGCCATTTTAAATAATGAATTTAGTTTTATCAGAAACAAAACATAATGATAAGTAAATGACACTATTTTTCCCCTTAAAATTGCTCTTTTCTCGAGCGCAAAGATATAAGGTAGGTATAAATTCAAGTATAAAATATTTTGTACCAATGACAAACAAGTCAAAACAATATGAACTTCAGCAAGTAGATTGTCAAAACAATGAAAAAACAAATTATATTAAAATCGAGTATACACATAATATTTGTGTTCATATATGCGAAATTTGTGGTCTAAGCATCAACTGGTTTGATCTGAATAATTATGCATAGTGTGTTTTTTTGTAGATATTTTCTTACAAAGCAATTTTACTGCAGTCAGCAACATGCTCAGAGTACAGTACTACACCCTCTAGGAAACCTTTCATCAACCCAGATAGACCACATGACCAGACTCACCTGTATACGTCCGAACCTCCATTACAAGTTCAACTGTCCTACGAACGTGATGAGAAGCATGGGCGTGTCTACCACGGCAACTTTCCCAGCGTGACGACAATTCTGGACGCTACAAGACCAACGAACGAGCACTATGCTTTACTCAACTGGAGGCGGGGTCAGATCAAGGAACTGGGGGAGGGGGGCTACAATGATAAAGTGACAATGATTAAGAATAGAGGGACAACTTTTCACCAGGTAATATGGTACTTAGAGCAAGGATATTGGTTCTACCCCCCCCCCCCAACACTCATCGACTCATTCCTGGATGTTATTAACCCACAATGCACCCAAACAATTTTACTAGCAAAAGGAATTTGCCCTGCTTACCTTTAGAATATAAGAGAACAGTAATTAAGCCTTCTTCACTAATAAGCCTCCTTCTCTAAACATAGAAATTTGTCTGCCCCTCCCTGTTTATTTACTACACTGTGTTTTGGCTAAATCAATAAGCCTTCCCCCCCCCCCCCATCTCTCTCTACTACGGTCCCATCCTCATTGGGTTGAGGAGTTCCATGAGAGCTGAAGAGAGTTGAGTGGATATTATCATCAACTTTCATCAAAATTTGACAGTTTCCCAGTCTTCAGTGAATTTCCTGCTACAAGAATGGCAACAGTTTTGAAGTTGCAACACACAAATGCAGAGTAGTTTATAACTAACGTTCCTTTCTCAAATTCCAAGAGCTAACAAGTCTCTGGCATTAGACAGAGTAAAACAAATTAGGGCACAATGGCAGCTAAATAATGTACAGTAATCCTGCAATTCCAGGCTATCAACGAATACCTCCTAACAGGTTCTCAACCAACACTCCAGGAATCAAATCTCGGCCATTGGGAAAGTGTCCAAGATGTTATATCAAATATTGACCATGTTATTGCCCTGGAGAGCGTAGTTCTTCACCCACAGTTACAGTATGCAGGGACATTAGATAGTATTATTTCATACCAAGGACAACTGTGTTTGATTGATTGGAAAACATCGCAAAAAAAACGGATTGAACTTAAAGATTGCTTTTCCTACCCTCATCAGATTGTCGCGTACTCTGGTGCTGTTAATTATGATCAGAACTACAACCCTATACAGGTATAAACACGGTTGTCTATTGTCTATTGTTATTAGGTATCTGCGCACATGGTATGTTGTCTGGAGGTTTTGTAAAATTGAAATTTCTACAAAAATCCTAATCCATTATTGAAAGCACTGCTCACAGAGTGTTCAACATGTCATAATCTATTTTCCCCATAGATAAACCATGGGTTGCTGGTTCTAGTTTACCAAGACGGATCCCCGGCTGACACAATATGGCTGCCACCAGACACTTGTGAATATTACTGGACTGAATGGTTACATCGTCTTCAACTCTATAATCAAACTAACACTTCGTGTTATTCAAACCAAGGCACCAGAATGCAAGATCTTGCTCAGTATGTGAATGGCATCCCAGGTGGAAAACCATTACTACAGCAAGATAGTGCAGAGTCTGTGAAATGTGCTGAAAATAGTGGGGAAATATGCACTGATATTGCCCAATGGTCTGAGAGCATTGTCGAAATGGATCCTTCAACTTTTGAATTTGAAGACAACTATTAAATAAAGCTTTGAAGGAATTCATGTGATGAATGTATGAAGTTTGTTTTAATTTTGAGAAAGCTTGGGATTGACAGTTAGCTGGTAACTCCTGACGAAGGGCCATCGCTTGAAAGTTGCATCCCAAAGCTTCCTTGTTATTGCCACTGGCTCTACACTACCACAGACCCATTATTTTTATTTTTTCCAAAATTTCATTCGATATAATTTGTACAGCGAATCACTCATGTCACATACTTAGACAAAGTTAAATAATTATTTTTCAATTTTTTCTCAATATCCTATCAATATTGCCATTTATATGTAAAAAATATACAATACTATTTAAAATATCTTGTATTCCAAGGGAACATGCCAGAATATAAATGATTTTGCCTGGATTGCTCATCGACACTTAATTGACAAGATGCCCACTTATCTCATAATACAGCAAAATTTGTGGGCAATTTCAAATACGTCAGTAGCTTCAAACAGGTCTATTTTTCAACTCAGTTAATTCAAGACAAATTACATTCTGGCATGTTCCCTTGGTAAATTTGTTGAAACGACTATCTACATACAGTTCCTCTTGTTGAAAAATTATCAAAGGCTTTGAAACTTTCCAAAAATGTACAAATACCTTAGGGCTTATACATATGTTTTGATTCCTGAAAAACACCATAGTATTTTCGAAAAACCAAAACATACATATGTTGCCATGGAAACATTGAAAGAAAATATTACCTAGGGCTTGCATATATGATTGTTTTGGTAGTGTGTCACTGATGAACAGCGCTAATTGAAGCGATTCAAAATTTGTTTGGTGGGAAATGTTAATTTATTTAGCAAATCTTTTGATCTGTAAGCTTGGACCTTCAGCAGTTCTGGTAATGGCCAGATTTAAGTCTGGTTTTTACACTATCAAAGTTTCCATGATCACAGTAGAAATTTTGCACAGGTAAACTCTAAGTTCTGAAGGATTTGTATGAAATATTTGAGGGGACTGATTTGCCGTCAGTTTCTGCAAACATTTTTTACAAATTCTTCAAAACTTTATCTATGCAGAATTGTGATCACTTTGATAGACGTACACCACCAGGCTTTATACTAGAAACAGAAATTAGCCATGTTTAATATCAGACCAACTACCTTCTCTTTGCCCAAGTTTGTCCAGACTGTTTCTGGCATATGACCATTATTAGCTGTGATGAAAATACATGTACGGATCAAAAGCATGCAATAATAACTAATCCTGGTACAAAACAATTATTTCCTTGTGATGCAACATACGCAGAACTTATTAAAATCTTATATACAATACCAAATGCAAAGTTGGCACAAAATTCCCCAGAGTAAAAATATTATTGGTGACGACTACTGCTGCATATTTCACAAACTGTTAAACTTTCATGGTTGAGAAACGTACATCTGGAACAACTCCATTGCGTCTCTAAACAAAACATTTTTACATATTATTTAGCAAATTCTATTTATTCTGGATAGCTTTAATAATTCTAAAGTGTTTTTATCACAAGATAATTTTGCCTTTGTATGTAAACACTAGACACTAAGACAGTAGTGTCAAAACATGAATCTTGCTATACATACCGTCGTCATCATAATTCGCAGGAGGTATTGGATCAGGATTGGTAGGATTAATAAAATCCCAACCTGGCAGAGTTGTATCATGGGATGGTTTGATTTGATCTACAATATTCAAGATTACAGACTTTAATAATTGAACCACCTTTTGTAGCTGCAAATCTCAGTTATTTATGCAATATATATGTAGCTCAGTTATAGTCTTTAGGAGGCAGTATGCTTGTGACATTGAAATTTTATTTGAAAACATGGTCGGATTTGGAGGCAAGGTGCGCAAGTTGTTTTGCATCTTCCCAGAGATATTCTGCACCTCCCCTGAAAAGCCATGCACTTCCCCTTGGGAAAATGATAGTAAGATCAAAGTGAAATTATTATATATACTTACAATGGACGTTATCTTTGTTGACGTGTAGCAGATGATCTTGAATATCATGTTCTGACAAAGGACGCGACAATGGTGGCGGGGGAACTCGACCTACATCAGGAAAATCTAACATTTAGTAATATACACATTGTGATAATGCTCTTCTCATGATCTGTACATAAAGAACCTTCTTAGGCGAGATCTTGCTATTTAGTGATTTACAGATTGTGCCACAATCAAAAATTATAAAAATATAATAAAATCTCTATTTTGAGAGGGTAGTTATGCACCATTTACAACGTAAGCAGCTGTGTTGTATCGGATATACACTACAAACTCGAGCCAAAATTAGAGCAATTAAATTGCTACAGTAGTGCTGGAATAATTTACCTTTCTCGGGGCGTAGGCAGGGCACACTATTTGATCTGTCAATTGTTTCTGTAAAAATATATGAATTGCATCGTTACTACTAAAGACGGGCTGTTCTGGTTAAAACCGGTCGTCTAACTGTTAAGTACAGATGGGTATATGCAGGGCACAGTCTGAAATTTAAAACATTTTTCAGCATCCAACAGAAATGCCAGGATTCAAAATATTCCACTTGGCATTTCCCTATGAAACATTGTGCATTTTTTTTATACAGACGCTCACAAATTTTCAACAAACAATTGACATAGGTTTGGCAAAAACAAGCTTTGGCAAATGATTACAGCAACACATATGCTAGTATTTGACATTTTGTTGCATCCAGTCCAGAAACAGTTTAATTGGCATAAAAATATTGGTATCTGTGGATATGCAGATGCTGCAAATTGCAGTCAATACAACTTACCCCTGCCATGTCTCGGACTAGAGGGCAGTCGTTGAGTATCATGTATACGGGGATCAGCTGGCGGCAGAAATGCTGGAAATTTAAAATTAAATCATCATACAAGACGTAATTCTTGGCTTTTCAAATCTTTCAGAGATTTTGCATGAGGCTATAATGTTGTACGAAGAGAGAAATGGCCCACATTTAAGCAGCAAAGGTGTGCAAAAGGTACAACTGACTGATGAAAACGAATATTATAAATAACGAATTATATTCGTCTGACACTCAGGCTAGATGAAAATGGAATCCAGATTATTTACAGATTCAAGTGTTATTTTGCTCATATGTTTCAGTGTTTCGTCCATGGAAAGTCAATGAAACCATTTTCAAATTACTTTTTATCAAGTTGTAACAAGTTTTAAATTAATCAACAATATTTAATCACCAAGGTTGTACCACATAACACGTTTGCATCCCTCCTGCCAAATAAATGTGGAACCCTAAATCAAAGGATAGCACAACAATTCACTAACCACTTTATTAAAAACAAAATATGTACCTTGTCCATTTTCCAGTCTGTCAATATTCTTTGATATTTCATCTATCGTTCGCTTTAACTTTTCATTCTCTTCTGAAAGTCTTGCCAATTGCTCATCCTGGGAAAACAAACAAAATATTGATCAGTTCTAAACTGTTTATTAAAGGTTTGATTTATATAACTCTCTCTGTTCTAAACTGTTGTTCCTGGAGGTCCAGTAAGGATAATGTCTTATTGATCCAGTGTTACTACAGGAGGAATTAAACCTAAACTAAACTAATTTTATTTATATTATGGATAGTTCTATCAGGTCTAAACACCCAAATCATCTTTTACCGTTGGATTAGGTTCTACAATATATTTCATATCATAAAGTGCTCCATCTCGCTCAGTAATATCCTTGATAACAATATCTAATCTTTCTTTTTCAATTGAATACTCCTGTAAAAATAAACCAATTCTTAGTTGTTTGTACTTGTTTTGTGTCGCTTAATTTGAGGAAGAACGGAGATCGCTAGAAAAGAAAATTTTACCTTTTGAAGTTTCTGAAATCTTTTCTGTTGATGAGAAAAACAAGCTAAAACAAAAGAGTGAGAAAGTCATTACTGCATCAGTACAAGATGTAAATAGCCCATGATATTTGACACAATTTGTTAGCGAGTGCACAGACCCTTGTCTCCACAACTGCACACAGGTTGTGATGCATTGCACTGGTACAATTAATCTCACACACAATCAACTCTTACAAGTTAAAACTTTGAAACACTGTATAACAAACCTCGTAGATAATCATCATTTGCGACAGGTTGTCTATTCACTACTCCCAGAGCTCCTAACGCTTTCTGCAGTTCCTCAGGGCTTCCACCCGACCTATTCAACCTTCGTAAAATTTCAGGGCTATTCATGCCAGGACTAGTAGATATATACAAGGGTTCTAAATTTTGCCGGCTGGAATTTCCCGCTGGATTCGTTTGAAACCTGGTGTCAAATTGTCCGGAGTGTACACCCATTCGATTTGGAGAGATATTCAAATGTCTGCGTTCATCAGTCATCAACGTAGCGGCCTCCTGTCGGTTAGCAGGACTGGTTGAACACAGAGGTCTGACGTTAGAGCTTGTTGGCATGTTTGGAGTAGAAATCATTGGTAATGGAATGTTTCCTAGATCAAACGCAGGAGTAAGAATGATATTTTAGGAACTATTGTATGACGGTAATCATTATAAATTCATTCTAAATATATAAAACGTGATACCTGGTAACGTGTGGTATCTCGGGTCAAATAGACCAGCGACAGGATAAGACGTCGAGTACCCTTGCGTCTGGCTGGCAGGGGAAAAATACCCAGTGGGAATTGACATACCAGGTCCCACGCCTTGAGGGGCAACTGTCGATATTGGTGGATTCTTTGGCGTGTTTCTACCACTATCTGTTGTGAAGTAACCATTGGTGCTGTAAATGGGGTAACCAGTGTTTGGCGAGGTATGGTTGGCTACAGAGGCGGATGGTGAAGTATTTTGGGGGTTGTTTGTTGGCATACCAGGTACATGACCAGTGCTCGGTACTAGTTGGTAATAGTTACCATTGATACATACAGTCCCTGGCGGTAACCCGCCTGTGTGAACAGGTGTGACAACCTGCCCAGCTGTGGTAGCCACTGGGTATCTAGGTGGGACAACATATGGAGTGGGTATCACATTCACTGGCGTGGACCGACCGCTGGAATGACTGGAGCCTGCACTGCCTGTAGAGTTGGAGCGAGGAAGATCAAACGGAGATACACCATCAGTTCTACTCCGAACCTTGAGTGGGCTGGGGGGATCTGGCGTGGGTGAACTCCCATACAGACATTTCTTGCTCTCTTGTTCAAGTATTTTTTGACAAGACTCTGGATCAGAAGCATACTGGAAAAAATAACAACATCCTTTAGAATGCACAAAGCTTTGTCAGACTTTGTCAGCAACTTTACAAACACCTTTACTGCACAAGACAAATCGCCATATCAACTATCATTTCTTTGTTTCGTCCTTGAAACAGACCACTCGCCTATAGCAAGTTACATGTAATGTGCATGATAATTAACCCCTTATGCGCGAATCAAATCGAAACCTTGACATCCCCCCCCGGGCATACCTGGGGAATTTGCTTGTTTAGTATTTTAAGAAGGCGGGAATTTGACCTTTTTTTTCTAGTGGAAGGTGGGGAATTTGAAGGGGGTCGGGAATTTGAATTTTTCTTTTAAACACGTGTGCAGAATCCAAAATGGCGTCAATAATTATAAATGGATGAGTTCAAGGTCTTCAAGTGCAAAGGAATTAACTTTGTCCTTGGTTGGCTACAAGAAAACGGCTTTGAACGATTGAAGAGAGTTTTTGAAGGAAAGAAAAACTTTGAAATTCCAAAATTGCAAAATGCTGTAGCTTCCAATTCGTACATGGGGTGGGGCATTTGAACTCCAATTTTTCCCAATACGTGGTGTATTTGAACGGGAATTACAAATATATGTAGGGAATTTGACCTGACCAAAACGTCAAAATCCAAATTCCCGGGGGTATGCCCGGGGGGGGATGTCAAGGTTTCGATTTGATTCGCGCATTAAGTGGCAATTAACGCTGATGCACCCTACTTTAGTATTTTACTCTGTCTAACACCAGACAATTTTACTCGTCAAGTGGAGAGTGCCGCCACTTTAAGGGAAAATATTTAAAATGGTTGTTTACAAATTTCTAAAATATTTCAATATTTATGCCATATCACATTTCATCACTTTTGATATAACATACAAACTGATTTCTGTTATCATTAAATCATCATTACATACTTTAACGTGATAAAGGATTTACAAAGATACAAATTATCTCATCATTGACAGAATAAACGCTGAATCAATAAGCACTTCATATTTCATAAACTAGCTATATCACAGCAAGCACTTCGAAATTTGACAGCAAATTGTCTTCAAGAGTCTAGTTTCGTCATTTCCAAGGGAAGTTTGGTAAACCCCCTTTGGAAGATCTTCAATACATTCCATCGAACATATATTTCAAATTTCGTCTGAAATTTCACCAAAAACTAGCACTCCACTGGCCTCGAAACTCAAAATGTATAAACAAACAAACATATTATTACTCGTATTTATTTGTCCGCAATAACAGTGCTTTTTGAATGGCGAAAACATATCTAATCCGAGGCAAGATTAATAGGAAATTATTTGACGCTTTTGAACTGCAAAATGTCTTACCTTCTGGACGATTTGAAGCAAATCCTGTTCCGGAATTTCAGGAAACTTTCCACGGTACTCTTCGAGTTGCAAACGGCTTTTGCTGGCTTGACTTTCCGGTGTCAGAGACATGTCCAAAAATTGCACTCTTTTGGGGCTTTTCCACAAGTAAAACTGGGTTTAAAATACCCCTAATTCATGTCCACAGTTCCTCAGTCGTTCACAAGCTTTCCACATTGCAAAAGGAGTGGAAACCCGTTAAAACTGGATAAATACAAACAACAACACCAATTTTAGAACTTTATTTTCGAAGCTCAGCAAAACACATACTCTGCTTGGCACGTGATCAGTCGAAGAAACGTGGATCGCACTCTCGTAAACTTCCGGACTATTTTCGTTACATTATCGGAAATTCCCGATAATCATATCTGAAGCCCATTGATCTCAAAATTCTGACTGGACAAGCACTTTCTTCTCAGCCTGTTAGCAGGTCAAAAACTGAAATTACGTAATACGCATATGTAAATATTTGCATTTTTTGCAAGAACGTTTTGATAAAATTTCGCTGTAAAAAACGCGTTTTTGGCAGGATTTATCAATGTCGGAGGAGAAGCCATGTATTGTGGTTGACGTAACATCAGATACAATATGACCTTGGTAAGAATAATAATAATAAATGCGTTGAAAAATCACAAGTGTTGTGCAATGACAAAATGACAGGCAGATCCTCTTGTTTACATTTTCTAGCAGGCAAAATGTTCAGAAAGCGCTCGAAAAAGCTTCGTTTTATATTATTGTGATACGTATTGTAAAATTGCAATCAAGAACATAATCTTATGTGTATTCGAAGTTTTCTGGCTGCAAAATGTAAACAATGTAAATATTCTATTTGGCTCCATTGCAGTTTTAAATACTGGGTAGATAAATCACCTTCATCACAGCTTAACAAGTCCTCTTGTGGTTTAGGTGTTGGGTAGGGAAACGTCACCTGGAGGAAGCCATGAAGACTTTTTCAGGAGATGTTTCCTTCGAAGTGAACTGGCGGCCATTCTTTCTTAACCCTGCCACACCAGACGAAGGCATTCCAGTTCTTGAATACCTCGGCAGAAAGTATGGACCTCAGGCTGCGGCCTCTGCTCAGAGTGGGAAAGGACCCCTAAGCCAAATGGCTGAGAAAATGGTTAGTTTGGTAACTTCTTAAACAACATAACAGCAAATATAAAATTGTGTATTAAAATCATTATTGACCAAAATTCAGGTTCCTCCTGTAGTAACATTGGATCAAGAAGAGAGGATTCTTAGGCCCCGTTTACATGAGACCGGGATGAAGTCAAATCGGAATGAAAATTGAAATTGTCAACATGCTTACATGAGACCGGTACGAAAATCACAAAATTTTCAATTTATTCCCCTTGCCAGGCAATTTTCTTTTTCAGATGGCTTTTGTTAGCATGTGTTGTTCCAATATCAAGGTTACAGCCGAGACCAGTCTGAAATGTATTTGTGTTTACATTCATCCCGGTCTGAAGTCAGTCGGTTCGGTTCAGCAGGCGGAATGACTTGAGACCGGTCTGAGTTATTTTCGTCCTGGTCTCATGTAAACATCTATAATTATAAATAATACTATGACCGAAACGGTCCCGGTTTGACTTCGTTCCGGTCTCATGTAAACGGGGTTAGTTTAATTTAGGTTTCCTCCTGTAGTAACACTGGATCAATAAGAGATGATTCCTTACTGGATCTCGAGGAAGAACAGTTTAGAACTGATAGAGCTATCCAGTATAAATAAAGTTAGTTTAGTTTAGGTTTCCTCCTGTAGTAATACTGGATCAATAAGAGATGATCCTTACTGGACCTCTAGGAAGAACAGTTTAGAACTGATAGAACTATCCAGTATAAATAAAATTAGTTTAGTTTGGGTTTCCTTCTGTAGTAACACTGGATCAATAAGAGATGATCCTTACTGGACCTCTAGGAAGAACAGTTTAGAACTGATAGAGCTATCTAGTGTAGATAGAGTTAGTTTAGTTTAGGTTTCCTCCTGTAGTAATATTGGATCAATAAGAGATAATCCTTAGTGGACCTCTAGGAAGAACAGTTTAGAACTGATAGAGCTATCCATTATAAATAAAGTTAGTTTAGTTTAGGTTTCCTCCTGTAGTAACACTGGATCGATAAGAGATGATCCTTACTGGTACTTACTTGTGTGATGAGTTAATACCATCTTTGTTGTTAGGGTTTAAAATTCAACTATGACCGTATGATTGTGAACACGCTGAAGTCACACTGCCTGTTGGATTATGCAAAGTCAGTTGGCAAACAAAATGAAATGGCAGAGATCCTCTTCAACGACTACTTCCGTCATGCAAAGAGAATTGACCAATCAGCTGTCCTGAAAGAAGCTGCCGAGGCCTGCCATATTGACTGGTCAGCAGCTGACACCCACATGAATAACGCCGAGATTGTATCGCGTGTGAAAAGAGAGGCTGGGACAGCTAGTGCCAGTGGTATAAACGGAGTACCACATTTTAATATATTCCTCAAGTCGAATCAGGCTAGGTCCCAGCAATTCTCAGGCGCTCAACCTGCGGCCACAATATTAAGTGTGTTTCAGAAAGTACTGAGCTTTGCCAAATCCAGGGTGTAAGATTTTTAAATGATTAGTTTACTAGATGAACTCAGTTTAGACTGCCATATGTATCAATACCTATATATAAAGTAGAATATGGACTATGAAGAACTATGGTTTGGACTATGGTTTGGACTGCTATGAAAAACTATGGTATATTTGTGTTTGTATGAAGACTTCGATTGTAAAACTATTTTGATCAAGTCGGATGATGTGAACAAGAGTGGCCAAGTTTTGAATTAAATGTCTTAACCATGCATTGTTGTTTTGATCTAGTCATGTGTGACAAATTGTGTCTCATTGCATTTTACATAACTTTTTCAGGGGATTTTTTTTAAACTTTGTTTGAGAACCACATGTAGTATATTAAGGTTATAGCGCGCTAGGTCGTTCCTGGTAGGACATTTCCCAAGTCCAAGAGAACTTCCCTGTGTTCAAAACTCATGTAATTGTGGTTGCTTCTCTTGTGATTCATTCTGTGGGTATTCGCTTTTCCTCTGTCAGCAAAAACTAATCCTCCCAGAATTGAGGAGACCTCCAATGGCGGCCGATTTCTGAAGCACATTTTCCACTAGGCATTCGCGCGAAGCGAAAAACAAATGTGAAATGATGGCATTGATCAGTTCGTACTTTTTTGCTGTTCGCGCGAACAAATTTCATTGACATTGCTCTCATGCACAGAGGTGATTCTTGAACACAACCAAAAAAATAATTGTTCCAAAAAGCGGCGTCCTAAAGCCCTGGACAAACAAGGAAATATTGTTGTGGAAACTTTTGTGATTCTCGATGTTTCCTCAAATGTTTCCATGTTTGTCCACCCGTGGAAACATTGTTGTGGAAACAAAATTTGCTTCCCGAGAAGCAAAAGTGTTTTCTAGCGAATTCAGAAACATTTGATGTTTCGCTATGTTTCTCACTAATGTTTCCTAGTGTTTACCCACTCTTTCCGCAACAATGTTTCCTAGTTTGCCCAGGCCTTAAACTACTTGTTGAGGCGTCGAAGAAAGCCTTCAACACGATATGTTTGAGCGATGTCTGTTGCCATGAAATACGTTGTGTATTCCTTGTGTTATAAATCAACATGACATTCAACTTTGTCCTAGACTCACTTGACCCTAGCCTAGGGTTGCTTGATATTCCTACTTCGTTGTAAATCAAACTGGCGTAAATTGTTTTGAAATCATAGATCATTTTCTCTGATTATTATTCAAGTAAGAATTTTGATGCTATATGTGTTAAAAATCTGTGTATATAAATTAGCTACAAACTACGCCTTAAAATCTCACAACTTGTTACAAAGCTTTCCGGTAACAGACTTGCTACAAGTTGTTCCAACAAGACTAATACAGGCTGTTCGTAACAAGTTGCTACGAGCTTGTTGTCATCAACTTGTTAACAACTTGTTACGTGCAGACGATATCAGACTTGTTGGAACAACTTGTTGCGAGTCTGTTGGCCTCATCAACCTTGTTACAAGATGATAACAACTTGTACCAGACTTGTCAACAACTGGGAACAAACAGTGCTGCGCACACATCTTGTTGACAAGCTGTGAGATTTGTAGCGTGTACACAGGTAAAAACGCACAAGTTGTTACAGGTCTGCAAACAAGTTATTAGAAATCTGTTCACAAGCTGTCAACAAGTCGTGATTCGTACTGCTTGTTGTAACAAGTTTGAAACAAGCTGTTAACAAGTTGCAACAAGCTTGATGGCATTATCAAACTTGTTACAAGGTTGTTCTAACAAATCTGATACAGTCATACAGTCAAGATGATAACAACTTGTTCCAGACTTTTCAAGACTTTTCCCAACAACTGGGAACAAGCAGTGCGAACACATCTTGTTGACAAGCTGCGAGATTTCAGATTGTTACAGGTCTGCAAACAAGTTATTACAAATCGGACTGCTTGTTCCCAGTTGTTGTGACAAGTTTGGAACAAGTTGTTAACAACTTGTAACAAGCTTGATGGCATTATCAAACTTGTTATTGTAACAAGTCTGATACAGCCATGATATAACAAGAATGTTACAAGGTTAACGACACAAGGTTGTAACAATATTGTTATATCATGACTGTATAGGACTTGTTCGAACAACCTTGCAACAAGTCTGACAATATCAACAAGGTTGTTACAAGTTTTTCCAAACTTGGTGACAATTTGGCACAAGCAGTGCGAACACAACTTGTTGACGGCTTGTTGATAGACTTGCTACAAGATGTGAGATTTTACGTGATTTTTACGCCGAGTTCAAACGACACACAACCTACACTCATTTGCAATGGTCCATTGTACACACGTAAAAATCTCACAACTTGTTAACACGATGTGTTCGCGACAGGTTTGTAGCAAGCTTGTCAACAAGTTGTAACAATGCTGTTATTTTATCAAGTTGCTACAAGGCTGTCACTCACAACTTGTTGAGAAATTGTTGAATTGCAAGATGATAACAAGTTGTTGGAACAACTTGTATAACAAGTCTGTTGAGCTCAACAACCTTGTAGCAAGTTGTGAACAAGCCGTTGACAAGTTGTCAACAAGCTGGGAACAAGCAGTGCGAACACATCCTGTTGACAGGTTGTTGGAACAGCATTGCTACAAGTCTGCTGCAGGTTTGTTACAACTTGTGCGTTTTTACGTGCGTAGGGTTTGAACGAGGAGTAAAGGTACAATACGGGATTCTGATTGGACACTAGTATCTACTTGGTTTCATACAACCTGCCTGGCGACAAGACGCGAGATTTTTTGGATGCGATGCGTTTATATTTACATATCATGAGTCAGTCACGTGTACGCCATCACTATTTTTTCAAATGGAACAAACACGCCACGGTTCGTTTTGCTGAAATAAAAATCAATCATAAAATACAATGAGAGAAGAGAACAAAAGATGAGCTTAGTACCAGTCGAGCTATCCTGTATAAATTTATATGGACCAGACGGAATTTGAGATATTTATCTTACCATTTGAAAAATCGTTGCCCATTAAATGTTCCATCATGTTTGCCTTCTAAAAAAGAAACGAACGTCATTAACAACTGAAATATTACGTCGAACAACACAACACAACACAACACAACACAACACAACACAACACAACACAACACAACTAAAGTAATACTTTTCATTTATTTCTCGCATTTGTAATTAATGATTCACGAGCAGAACACAGGAAACCAGCTGCGTTGTGTTGATACCACAATTTATATCGTCCACACGAAATGGTGTTTTTAAAACACTTCACATTATGTTATAAAAGACGGCTGGCACCCACTTCGTTTTCTAACATACATTAGATGTCCCTGGATGACATACAATTCTTCTCTTAAAAACTTACCTGCATCTTTAAGTTCTAGGCCAACATACACCTTGCCTTCTTTATCAGGTAAATACCCAACATATTGAACAATTCCCTTGCATAACCCTCCACGATGTCGGCTCACCAATACAGTCATTCCTATGTCAATCTGTTGGGGGGTGTCAGGGGCGAAGGGGCTACCTTTCCCGGGACTAGGTCTTCGCTCGGAACGTGGGGAGGGGTCAGGAGAGGTGGGGGAGAAGTCTACACGATGGCCTGTGAGGGCCAAGTCCCTGGTCTGGGTGGAGGTTGTAGATCTTGAGTTGAGATGATCATAGGAACCTGCAATAAATATTACACTGTGAACCTTCAATGTTTCAACTGCTGGTGTCTAGATAGAAATTGCGATAGTCTCATTTTACCTGAATGATATAAACGTGATCTATCTTTGCTTCTTCTGTCCAGCTCTTGACTTCCTCTCTCTTGACTGGGTGAGATCTTACTCCGTGACGCGTCTGGAAACTCGTTTCTGATGGCATCTGAGCTGTGACTGCGCTTTGGAAGCAAATACCTGTAATCACGATCGGAAGTCCTCGATGTCACATCGTCAGCAGTCGTCAAACGTTGACGACTTCTCGATTCCCTACTCCGAGATCTTTCAACACGAGGACTCGTTTCAAAACTTTCTGACCCGTAGATATCGGATCGACCTCGGCGACTCTCGGGACGATCTCGTAACATTTCGTCGAGTTGACGGGTTGTTTCCGACAGAGGTCGGGAGCGATTCGTACGGTGATCGGTACTCTCGGGTTGGGATCGGGAATTCTCGAGCACTGGTCGGTGACTATCGTATGGAGACCGGGTATTAGTCGTAGAATCGCGCGTAGTGGTCGGCAGATATCGGTCATTGCTAGAATAGTGTCGTGGAGGGTCAGTTTGACTTTGTAAACTATCGAATTGGTGTCGATCATGTGATGGGTTAGTGTCTAGATAACCATTGATGGAGGAGTGATCTTGATGATCTGGACGAGATGAATAGTGATCTCTGCTTGTATTGATGGAGGAGTAATCTTGATGGTCTAGACGAGATGATGGATAGTGGTCTCCGCTTGTAAGGTTTTCTTGCCTTGACCGAGTTACAATCTTTAATTTTTCTTTAAGATCTTTGTTTTCTTTTTCCAATGTTTGTACTTGGTCTTTGAGGCTGGCAGAGACAGCGAGATATTCCTGACATTTTTCCAATACTTCCTTGTAGTCCTTCGAGTATTTCGAAGACGTCTGTCTTGATTTTTCACGAAGTGTTTTAACCTGAAAAGCAAACACACACAAGCAGGGTTTAATAAAACTCAGAGTGGAAGCACATGTGAGGTGAAATGAGACAACAGCATACCCACCTCTTGTTCTAATAAAACATGAACTTTCCTTAAATCCTGTATTTTCTTTTCATAATCTTTCTTTCCTTGCTCGAATTCGCCATCCATACGACGTTTTTCTCGTTTCATTTCAAGAACTTTGACTTCCATTTCTGCAAATTGTTTTTCTTTCTCGCCCAGAGCGTTCTCCAATTCACTCGAGATTTCCTCTTGCTCCCTTAACGCTTTCTGACTTGTCTTCAAAACAAAGAAACGAGAATAAACATTTCTGATATTTCTTTTGAAAATATCCAATACAACTTGTAATGTATATGCAATAAAATATCTATCCCAATACTTACCTCAGCCAAGGACAAAGCTTTCGTCAATTCCATTTCTTTTTCCCGCAGCTGTTCAATCCTCTCTTTGTAACTAGCGTTCTTCGCTTTAAGTTTTTTCACTGCTTCGTCGCGTTCCACAAGTTTCTGTCTCAGAGCGCTGATTTCACTAGCGCCCAGTCTTTCACGAGGAGAAGTCTCTGGAGAAACCTTTCGTCTCGAGGATTGGTTCTTCTTCAGAGTTTCCAAAAGTTCTACATGAGAAAATATAGTGTAGGAATTAGGCACAAAAGCAGTTCAATAAATACGACCAAGCTTGCATGTCATAAAGCGGGTTAGAGATGAGCAGGTTTTCTATGACAAATCTTCATTCAAGTTTTATTTGTCAAAATTTTTTTGACAATTTTTGTTTTTTCTGGCCGCCACAACAGCTACTACAACAATATGTTGCTGTCCAACAGCATTCAAGTGTTAAATTACTTTGTCATTCTTTCTTGGTACTCACTGACGAGCAAATTTGCCAATTTTTCTATGCGAAATGAACTTGTTGAAAACCTAGTACGCTAGCTTTTTGATCAGGTGCATTTGTCGTAGAAAAACTTAGCAAAGTTGACAAGACGAGCAAGGTTTATGACAAGTTTTCATGCAAATAATTTTGAGCAAACTTTTAAAACATAACTCATACTGTCAATCTTTAATTGCACTAACCATCGCATCAGTACCAATACTATATCTATCAGAATTCTCACTGTACCTTTGACACCATCTTCCGAGAATTGTTTAGAAGCGGCTGCAGCTCCACTAGCGACTGCTTGTGTTCCCTCGGGGCTGAGTGCGGACCCTGTTGGAGATCCACGATCCAGCATGCTTTGCGTGGTGACAGTAGTTGCACGAGAAACAGAACTCGGTCCATACCTAGATGAACTTGACACGGCCACTTCGCCATCACGCGGTGAGGACAAGGGAGATATTGCTCTATGGTAGCTATAAGGAGGGGATGAAGATGGTCTACTTGGGGCAGATGTGTACAATGGTGGTCGTCGAATACTACTGTCGTCCATAAATGACCCTTGAGGACTGCGTCTTGTTAAAGCCAGAATGTCACCCCCGAGTCCACTTTGTTGGTAACGGTTCACCTCTCTTGAAGCACTGATGTCTCTGTTCTGAGAAGTCACTTCTCTGTTGGAACCACTAGTATCTCTCCTCTGAGCGCTGATTTCTCTGTTAGGACCACTAGTATCTATGCTCTGAGCGCTGATTTCTCTGTTAGAACCACTAGTATCTCTGCTCTGAGCGCTGATTTCTCTGTTAGGACCACTAGTATCTCTGCTCTGAGCGCTGATTTCTCTGTTAGGACCACTAGTATCTCTGCTCTGAGCGCTGATTTCTCTGTTGGAACCACTAGTATCTCTGCTCTGGGCGCTGATTTCTCTGTTAGGACCACTAGTATCTCTGCTCTGAGCGCTGATTTCTCTGTTAGAACCACTGACGTCTCTCCTCTGAGCGCTGATTTCTCTGTTGGAACCACTAGTATCTGTGCTCTGGGCGCTGATTTCTCTATTGGGACCACTAGTATCTCTGCTCTGAGAACTCACTTCTCTCCTGGGACCACTAGTATCTCTGCTGTGAGCGCTGATTTCTCTGTTAGAACCACTAGTATCTCTCCTTTGAGAACTCACTTCTCTGTTGGAACCACTAGTATCTCTGCTCTGGGCGCCGATTTCTCTGTTGGGACCACTAGTATCTCTGCTCTGAGAACTCACTTCTCTGTTGGAACCATTAGTATCTCTGCTCTGAGCGCTGATTTCTCTGTTGGGAGCACCGACGTCTGTACTCTGAGCGCCGATTTCGTGGCTGGGACCACTTTCGTCTCTCCTCTGAGCGCTGATTTCTCCGTTGTGACCACCGATGTCTTTGCTCTGGGTCTTTGTTTCACGGCTGGGAGCACTGTCGCTGGTAGGAGCAGTAAAATCTCTACTCGGGTTATCTCTCGTGAATGCTGTGTTAGTTCTCACACCAGAATGTCCAGTTGAATAACTTCTAAACAATAAGTCATCTGTGCCAGTGACGTTATTCTCGCTGTCTAAACCACGGCGACCAGGTAAGGAAGCAGCAGAACTCCCAGGGGAGATTAAACCCCTGGTCTGACTGTCTAAGCCATGGCTGTCAGTAAGTGAGGTACCGGATCTCCGAGGGGAGATAAGATCCCCACTGAAAAGCCCGGATTGAACAGTGGTTGTGCGTGTATTAGTGAAAGCGTCAGTTCGTGTGATTTGTGTAAGGTCAGGATATAACTTAGTCGGTAGTGATATGTAGCTGCTGGTGTTTACAGATGAAGGGTTGATCCTGTTATCTTCAGATTCTGAAATGCCTTCACGACTTCTAGATGTTCGGCGTTCATCCCCCGAGGTTCCTTCAAGATGACCGACAGACGTTCTTTCCCGACGATCTACCGACTCTGGATCATGATTATCAGTGGATGTCCTCTCCTGAAGGCCACTCGACGTCTCTTGACGAAGACCACTCGACGCTTCAGTTCGAAGGCTGCTCGACTGCTCACGATTATTTTCTGAAGGTTCACGACTATCTCCCGAACGGTCGCGATTGTCTTCCGAATGCTCACGATTATCTCCACCCAACGCTTCACGTTTGTTTGCCGAAGGTTCACGATGGCTTCCCGAAGATTCGCGGTGGTCTTCTGGACGTTCATTTATATCTCCTGTAGGTTCACGACCATCACCCGAAGATTGTCCACGACGATTACGTGACGACTGTTTACGACGACTACTCGACGGTCTTTCACGACTATCATCCGACAGCCTCCGACGATCATCCCCTGACGACTTCTCAGGAAGATCACCAGTGGTTTCTCCTCGATCCAACGGTACCCGATGTCGAGCCTTCGACGAACCTGTTGATTTAAAATGTTTTATAATTATGATACTACAGTGCCAATCTAAAGCAATTGTTGGTATTTTAGTGAGACTAAATTTGACTTAAGTCTGCTACTGTAGGACGAGGGTAGGAGATATGTTGGGGAACTTATCTGGGTTTGAAAACTCATGTAAGTGTGGTTGGTTCTTCTGTGCTTCGAGGATTTTTCTTCGGGTACTCCAGTTCCCTCGCCATTTCTAAAATGCTTGTCGAGCACGTGTACGAGCCCGGGTGATCACCACACCTTGGACAAACAATCAAAATAGACCTGACGTACCTTCGCGATTGTCATCCGACCTTCTTTCACTACCCGACTCATCACGACGACCCATCGACGAACCTTCCCGATCTCTTCCCGACGACGGTTCACGAAGATCGACCAGCAGTGTTTCCTGACGATGATCACTCACTGACTCTTCATGATTCGCGTCAACATCCGGGTCTTGATCTGATACACGAGTATCAGGTTGAACACGTGACTCAGTCTCACCATTTGATTGGCCAAGAAGTTCTGGTCGTTTTTCCAAACCTTCGTGAGACGATAGACTGACGGAATGATCTGGATGAAAAAAAAATGAAATACTAAGGGTGCAAACATCTCTAATACGGACAATTTTCAATGTTTATGATCTCTTTCATAATCTCCAAGTAATTCGGGCTGTACTCTTCTTACCTTCGTTCTCTGAAAGCGAGGACTCTCTGTCTTCTGTTGTACCCACATCTGCATTGCCTGCGTCGCCATTGCTTTCTTGACGAGTTCTTGTTGGTTGTAAAAACTGTTGTAATTCATCAGAGCTCATTGAATCCCTTAACACATCATCTCTTTGTCTATCAAAAGACATCAAGTTGTCCCAGCGTTATTACTGTTGAAACCTCGACTAACTTTATTTATACTGGCCTGATAGCTCTATCAGTTCTAAACTGTTCTCCCTGGAGGTCCAGTAAGGATCGTGTCTTATTGATCTAGTTGACTTTACCTAGTATTTCTACCAAGCCACCAAGGGTAGCCAGAGTAGTCACACTGGAGGTGAAATTATAATGAACAACTGCATATTGCAGGAATCAAACCCTGGACACAGAGATAGACACAGTCATGAAATCAATAACAATTCCCTTCATCAATAACGAGTCCCCTCTATCAACCTATCATCCAACACTACCTTTCATTGGGAAGATCAGAGATATCTGAACGAGCTGTGTGACCAGGTCTTGTGATGTGAACACCAGTAGATTCCCTGTGAGCAGAGTCTTGTCCACTTCTCTGATCTCGAGAGATCCTGGTAGCCACACCATTACCTCGTGTCCTGTCTCCTCTCTGGCCTCGTGTCCTGTCCCGTCGTCCACTACTGGCATCACCAGTCAATGTTTCCAGTGAGTCACCATGCAAAATCTGAAGAAGATATTTTTCTTATTCATTACAAGAAAATACCACATATAACAACCTAGCAGAACAAGGTTTAGGTTTTAAATTTTTAATAATAGTAATGTCAGTGGAAGTCTTGTACCTGACCAGAGTGCAGACATGCAATTCTGATCAAATATGTACTAAGAACATATTCATTCTGATATGGAAAATAATTAGGTATTGCTGCATACTCAAACTAGTACAAACTCAAGACTGAGAGACTCAAGGTGTGCTTATTAGCCTTTAAAATGAAATTCATAAAGTACAGGTTTCTGAAAGATATTCATTCAGAAACTACGAAGGAAAATTATATAAAACCAAAATCAACACCAATATTCCGTAGTCCCCTTAGTCCAACCAATTTCTTGCAAAGACATGTCCAACTTACACATAGAGTGACATACAGTAAGTACAGTTTTAACTGCCTTGGGTTTGAAAAAGTCATATGGTACCAGCAAAAAGTAGTTGGAAATGGTGTTAATCTTACTATGAACAAGCTTTTGTTGTAGGAATGCGAATACCTGAAAATCATAAGGAGAATTTTGACATTCAAGGGAGGGCCCTTCTCCATAGGAAGGATCTTCACTTGAAACTCTCCTAGGGCTTACATTTTTCAGGGTGCAACAAAAGCTTGTTTTATATTACTAGCACTATCTACACTGACAGACAGTTCAAGTGTTAATCTTACTTGATGTTTTAAGAGCTCACGATACAAAGAACCCTCGGGAGGCAACTGTCGTGTGGTGACCTCAGATCTGCCATCTGTCATGGAATAAATTGCAAATTATCACAGGAATAACTACGCAGTCTGTTAACCAAAGTACCCAGGGACATTATACCTTGTTCATCTGTGTGGTCAAGATGAGGTTTTTGTTGTGTGGGAAGTTCATGATTTTCACCTCCGGATGTGTTTCCTGTTGATTCTTCAGCCTGAGAAGCTAAATTATTACAAATTACATTAATTCATCACAGGGACGGGCCAGATTTATCCAGTGAAGTATAGAAATTTGGCAGTACCCAGTATCTTGTAAATTTGCTTGATATTTAGCATAGGGGTGCACCGGATTTGGAATTTTCAAATCCGACCGGAACCGGATTTACAATAAACCGGTAATGGGGACAATTGTGGATAAATCAGTATTCAAAATGGCGGTTTATGTATTTTACGATTTTTAGTTAGTGTCAGTTTAGATTTTTGATTGTGTTTAATTTAAAATATTTTTTTGTTAATAACTTAATATTTTATAATAATATAAGTGTTTTTTAAACTCTAAAGCTGCCAAATTGATGGTTTATCCCATTCTTGGTGAATTTTTAAGGTGAAAACAGAAATTTAAATCCGGCCGGATTTTCTCCAAATCCGGCCGGATACCAGATGCCGGAAAATTCGTTAAATCCGGCCGGAATTCCGGCCGGATTTGAAATCCGGTGCACCCCTAATTTAGCAGATAGTACTCAAACTTTCATTGGGTAAGAAACATAAAACAGAAAATTCCCGTTTTATTAGGGCAAAATTTGTGAAATGCAGGAACAACTACGGATCATGGAGAAAATTTTTTGTCATGCAAACTGCTCTGTGAGCTTTTACGATTTTGGCCTGAAACAGTTTTGCAGGCTGAATGATAACACCACATAACAGCAAATCTGTAGAACAAGTTATGTTAAAGTTCTGACTGCTATGGACAACAAATGATTTGTGTCAATGAATGTCACCACAGTATAATAGGCAATTCCAGCTTTTAGTTTATGCCTGCAAGGGATGATGGGAAGTAAGGTATCGTATTGCCGATTATGCTGAAAAATTTCAATAAAAACTACCGAAACAACCGAAATGTTTCAGTATTTACAAGTATAATTAACCCATTGAGTCGCATTGCACCCTGATGCACCCTACTTTAGTATTTTACTCTGTCTAACGCCAGACGATTTTACTTGTCAAGGGGAGAGCGCTGGCCGTTAATGGGTTAACTGGCCTATCTGCCCATGTGTCTAGTTAACACATTGAGTCGCATTGCACCCTGATCCACCCTACTTTAGTATTTTACTCTGTCTAACGCCAGACAATTTTACTCATCAAGGGGAGAGCACTGGCGCTTAATGGGTTAAGCATCACTCTGTGTTTACAAGGCCACCATTTGTATTTTTTCAGCATAATCAGCAATGTGATACCTTACTTCCCATTGTCCCCTGCACACATAAACTAAAAGCTGGAATTGCCTATTGCAATTGGTACAGCAAGGTGTTTCATACCTTCAGAGATCAAAACATCAATAGTTCTACTTGTATCAGAAACATTAAAATCATCTGTCGACAAAGAATCCCCATCCACAATCAGTTGACAGACATGTAGTCCTTGCGATACTTCCACCTGCTCTGATAGGAAACATTCATCAATTGGACGCCATTCAAGCTTGACAGACCCAGCCTAAACAGAAAAGGAATAAGTTAGGGGACGCTATTCATTACCAAAACTGCAGATGCTTCCTATCCTCCGAAAAACGTGTCTTGTTTTTGTCTCAAAAACATTCAGGAAAGTAGAATTCTATGCCAATTACAATTAAAATGTGACAGAGCACAAATGGGTTACTGTCTTTCTTCTGTTTATCCCTCAGAGTCTTACTCGCTTCCAATCGTCTTTGACTGGAGGTTTATGAGTGGGACAAAAGGGCCAAATCAACAACACAGTTGTGGATTTGAGAGGGAAATATACAAGCACAATGTGAACGTTTAGAGCAAGGACCCTTCTCAGGAAGTTAGTAATGGCAAAACGACTTTGCTGAAAACGTTGACATTGTGCTTGTGTATATATAGTTGGTCAAGTGTGCAAAATTACTGAAGAGGAAAGTGTGGACCAATTGTCCCACTCTGCAGTCTGGGACATGTTCTACTCAACATACTCGGGGTCTGCTAGTACTGAAACACAGCTTGCCTCTGTAATGATCGTATTTATACGAACACCACAAGAAAAGCTCAAACACTCAAATTTGAATAATGTCAACAGTAAACACAGTACAAATTTTGTACTATGTACGCTTTTTACTATATGCATTTTTTAATTTCCCGTCAACATAACCCAATATTCAACTATATCAATGGTAAAAGCACTTGTAAAGATAAACAATCGAGGCAAATACCTACCACGGAACTGATTAAATAAACTTCCCGCGCTAACGTTGGTTTCGTCTTTATCCATCTGAACTGCACGACTTTCTTGCTTGGCGGAGCTATATAAAAGCAAAAAGATACGTTTAAACATGCCATACAAAGCTAAAATCTACAAAGATAAGCTAAATTTGAAGCAAATGTTATTAAATGTCATGTTTGTATCGGAAATACCTTGTTTATGCTGGCTTGTGGAAGCGTTTTCGAGGTAGCCAAGGCAGCTCATGAGATAATGTACTTGGAGAGCATTGTCGTCCGCCACGGATTCTCTGCACAATGGACATTGCATCGCACTTCTTTTGGAAAAGAAATATCTTCACATGCTTTGAAAAATCTTTGCCAGATGTTTGTGTTGCTATCGAACGCCGTATCGAGGAAACAGCGCCCAAAAATGATAATCTTTTAACGTCTTTTTACAATTTACGTTCTTTGTGTACATTGTAATATTCGAACCAAAAAAATTCCTTACCAATAGCTCTGATGTTCCGCAGATTACCAAAAATTCCTTACATACTTCAACCTACCATTTTCACTGATTCCTGATTTCAAGGATAAATCTTCAAAAGTTAAAACCTTGCATCTCCGCCTGCATGAGATTTCCTCCACCTGCGCGTAGGTAACCAATTCCCAAAATGACGTTTCCGAGAATTTCTGAAAATCTAATAAACGTTTCCAAGAATTCCTGAAAATCCAATAAACGCCCCTGTGTTTGGAGGTCGTGATACAGGCTTAAAATTAAAATTTATGGAGCCGAACTAATATTTTGTAACTGTAATAAAATTCATAATATTGTAGAAAGTAAACAAATAATTAAAAGCCCATGTAAACGCCCAATAAATTATTATTCAATTATACAAGTTCGCTGTCTGTTTATCTCAATTGTGGCACATCTGAGATATTGCTAACAGCGTTTATATTTCCAGTGATTTTCACGCAATAATCCCATATTTGACAAACGACATTCCGCCAAATTTTATATGGAATAGCTAACATGAAGTAGCATGGCAGGCACAGAGACCACCATATACCAAAGTCAAGACCATGACATGGTTCACCTGTGCCTGTCAACGAAATACGTCCACCAACACAGTAAGCAGTGTCAAGACAGTCCAGGTGTAACCAATATTGAGGTCCTTGGTTCATCCACCAGGATAAAATAACAGCATTGAAATCAAACTGCAATGAAAAACAATACAGTAAATTAATGGGCAAACAACCATGTTTCTTTTTTCTGTGTTGGTGTTGTGTACTCAGGTGAATAATATGTTTGCGATGTTACTCTGAGTAACCATGTTTCTTCAAAACGTCGGGAAACATGGCTAGGAAACAATGTTTCCTGGTTTGCCCACCTTTGAGAAACATGGCTAGGAAACAATGTTTCCTGGTTTGCCCACCTTTGAGAAACATGGCTAGGAAACAATGTTTCCTGGTTTGTTCACCTTTGAGAAACATGGCTAGGAAACAATGTTTCCTGGTTTGCCCACCTTTGAGAAACATGGCTAGGAAACAATGTTTCCTGGTTTGTCAACCTTTGGGAAACATGGTTAGGAAACAATGTTTCCTGGTTTGACCACCTTTGAGAAACATGGCAAGGAAACAATGTTTCCTGGTTTGTCCACCTTTGGGAAACATGGCTAGGAAACAATGTTTCCTGGTTTGTCCACCTTTGGAAAACATGGCTAGGAAACAATGTTTCCTGGTTTGTCCACCTTTGAGAAACATGGCTAGGAAACATTGTTTTCTGGTTTGTCCACCTTTGGGAAACATGGCTAGGAAACAATGTTTCCTGGTTTGTCCACCTTTGAGAAACATGGCTAGGAAACAATGTTCAACTGATGAACTTCAGACTTGAGAGATCTTTCATTAGAAGTAACAGTCTGTAGTTGTGAACGAAATTCTTGTTCATGCTGACGACTGTTCTGTAAATCCTGCTTAACGCGTTTCAGTTCACTCTCCGTGTGGTTGAGCGTGTTCTCTGAACGACGTCTAAACGAACATTGAAATAGAATTAGATTTCATGACATTTTCGTCTGATGTATGTGAACGAATGGATGATTTATGAATGTTCAGATGAGAGTACATATATGCAGAACATTCATCATTCATCTTCTCGTTCCCATGCACTAAAAATCGCAGTAAAAGAAGAAAATTTTACAGAGACCTGACAAAGCTATCTAATATATAAGTTAAGGTAGTTCATTTTAATTCCGTTCACTTGATATGTTTAGCATAATTTGCTATATTTTAGCCACTAACATTTTGTGTCTACTACTGTATATATTTGTACACAATATTATTATTATATACTACAGGTTAAAATATTTTCACAATGATTATTTGTGTACAATACCTAGCAGTCTTCTCTTCTTTGAGTTGAGTTAACAAGGAAGGGTTGATGTCACCAACTACGGAACGATATTTTGTTTCCTGTAAGAAAAAAAATGTTATAGATATTAAATCTGACCTTTTAAGACCCATTTACCCACTTTAACTCAGCTTAATTTATATCTGGACAAGCGATTTACAATTGTGTTGGTTGTCTTTACTCCAGTAAATGAGGCCAAGAGACTCGCAACAAGTTGTTCCATCGTCTGTATGTAACAAGTTGATGACAACAAGCTTGTAGCAACTTGTAACGAACAGCCTGCATCAGTTTTGTTGGAACAACTTGTAGCAAGTCTGTTACCGTCATCAACCTTGTAACAAGGTGATAACAACTTGTTCCAGACTTGTCACAACAACTGGGAACAAGCAGTACGAACACATCCTGATATCGACTTCACAACAACCTTGTTACGACTTGTTTCCAGATGTGTAACGACTTGTATGTTTTTACATGTGTACGACTGGTTTCATATTTATTCTGACAGTGCAGAGTACAATGAATCTTCTTGTTTCTAGAGGGCTATACCTGTGCAGTTTTATTCTGATTCTCCTTCTTACTGCTCCCGGGACCACTTGAGGTTGATGTATTAGAAGAGTCGCCACTATCCGAGTCCTCGTAATCTCCGTTAGGAACTCGCAATGGACTACTCCTCTTTCCTCCATTGAAACTACGCCCTACATGACCATTAACTAAACGTCCGTCTTCACTCTTATTTTCAAGTTCGTTTAAGTTATGATCTTCGTTGAGTTTCTTGGACGACGAAGCTGTTGTAACTTTAACGTTATTTCTAGTTGTTTTTTCACTGCTAACAGTTTTGGCATTCTCATGACTATATAATAGTTCATTGTTTGATTTATTGACAACACCATTGCTTAGTGTTTGACAACTAGACTTCCTTGCCGGTGGACCACTCTCCTCAGGAATTTTATCAATCGCATTTCCTGAAAGCATGGTAAAATGTGATAACGTTTTTAGAACTGGTTAAATGTTGGTCTCGTGGTTCTTGTAATTTCTATGAAATGAATGTATGAAATAAAGTACCTTTCGCATTGTTTTCCAATTGTTCTGAAGGTAGTGATTGATTTATTAATTCCATATAAAATTCATTCTCTTTGCTAACTCGCTGAATTTTATGCTGCAAGAAAGTTTGCATGTATACAAATAGAATAAGTATGGCAGTTTTTTTAGCACACAATCAGATTTTTCTAACACAGCGGAAGAGCAAAAAAATGCAGATTAGAGAGGTGTCTGTATTAGAGAGGTGTCCCCATATTAGAGAGGTGTCTGTATTACACAGGTGTCCCCATATTAGAGATGTGTCTGTATTAGAGAGGTGTCCCCATATTAGAGAGGTGTCTCTATTAGAGAGGTGTCCCCATATTAGAGAGGTGTCTGTATTAGAGAGGTGTCCCCATATTAGAGATGTGTCTGTATTAGAGAGGTGTCCCCATATATATTAGAGAGGTGCCACATTAGATAGGTGCCCAGTTAGAGAGGTGTCTGTTTAGAGAGGTGTTCCCATATTAGAGAGGTATCACCACTATAGAGGTGGACTGTTTCCAAAAATCTCAAACTAACAAGTATTTTACCAACCTGTCGAATTTTATACCCTACATAACTTTTAACGCCGTAACCCAGGGTGACCACTGGATAGCCGATACTAAATACAGAATGAGAAGGTCAGTACAATATTGAAATGTTCACGTAATTTTGATAATAAACATGGCAGACTATTAAATCTTTGAGTGCACCTGTTTACATAAATGGCATATTTGCCCTTCGTTTGTGGTAAAAATGAAATTAAGCAATTTTAGAAGAAACAAAAACGTTTCAAGGCTTAGTAAGTACAAGGAACACAAGGAAAAATATTTGAAAAGAACAACCCAGATAGGAATTGAACCTGGGCACATTTCTATTCCGTAGCTGTACCGGTAGACAACTGAGAACCGCTACAAGATTAGGGGAAATGTCATTCCTATATTCAGATGCTTGTCAAAACTTCCAAAAAAAAAACTTTGAGTTATCTGGACACGTTTTTCAATCACAAAAATGTTTGAAATGCTTAGTTCTTGGTTTCCAAATGTATGTGTGTTAAAGCTGGATAAAAACGTGGACAGTTTTGCATCATACTGTAGAGTATTAATGAGAAGTCGGACTGTCTGGCCATGGGCATTGTTATCCCATTGTTGGCTTTCAGTAGCAGATGGGGTCAATATTGACACAAGAGAATTAAACTACACTCCAATTCCATTCATTTGCAAATACTAGACTACTACATATAATGAAAAGAATGAACATTATTTTCTCACTTGACCACTATCTGCCGAATGTAACCCCAGCTGTTACGGTAGACCACAACGTGCCCTTGTTTTGCCCACTTCATTAGTTTGATTTTTATCGTCAGGCATTAAGAGGCTAACAAGGTCCATGGCCCTCATAAACATATCAATGTACAACACTATCCAGTCATATTTAAAGTAAGAGTGCAATGCAGCCTAATAGACAAACGAGAGGCATGAACAGACACTCTGTTTGACGCATTAAAGCGTGACACTTTTCCCTTAACAAGTAGAATCATCTATCCGAATAAAATAACAAAGTACGGTGCATTAGGGCACATTGCGACTTAATGGGTAACTGCCATATTGAACAACTGTCAAAATGCAAACGCATACAAAATAAAGTAATCGAAAGCAGGTTTTAAATGCGATAAACATTAAATATTGAAAGTCTTATACATTCAAAAGAAAAAATTAACAACCTCAGCAAATCAGCTGTCTTGAATAAATTAAAAATGTTTTTAACATTTCATGCATGCATTGTCTGTGTTGTAAATCCCTCTAAAATCCACTATGTTTTAAAAACCATTGTCGAAATGTGATTATTGGGTTTTGAATGGTAAAATTTGAAAAATTAAGCTCGGCAGCAAAAGGCTGTCAACGGTTTATTGAAATTACTAAACATGTTATTTAGAATGTTAATATTTAAAGTACAGTACCAATGAGCTGCAAAAGGTCGACACAAATCCAAGTGAAACGGTAGATTTTTTAGCTCTTTTAAGCGAACGGATGCCTCGACGTATATAAATAATAACCACATAGAAATCGTCGGTAATCCTAGCCCGCGATCTACAAGGAAAGTAGCGAAATATAATTATAACAACAAGACAAGTGAAGCGAATCATGAAATAATGTAAACATATCACACACTTGGTCGCCACAAAGAAAGACTTCAATAGCCAAAACCGCAACAAATTGTATTAAAGAAGGGTTTTACTTCACCTGTATGCCAGACGAATTGTACCCAGACATAAGTACTCGCTGCAAAAAATAGCCAGTGAATCGGTAACACCATCAGACACACAACATCCGAACATAAGGCCAGCCCAAGGAATAGCAAAGAGAACACCTTTTAAAAATAGCAAAAATACAAGCGATGAGGGTTTTAAGTTGCTGGGAATAGTAATAAAGAAACGGCAGAATACCACTCGGTACTTTTCAGATGAAAATAAAGTCTATTATTACCAATCCTTGATATTTAAACGAGTCGTAAGCGCTTCGCATCAACAGCCAAAAAGGCCACAAATACTCGAAGCGAAACTCGAGTAAAAAGTCCGCTGTAAGTACAAGAATCCACACGGCGAAGAATTTCACATAGATGAACAAACTAGGAAAGGAATAAACAGATTAAATCAGGCTTTATGGTACAACAATGCAAGAGATCAGACAAAAATAATCTCTCCAATTTCTTTTTTATTAAAATAATGTTGGAGAACACGTTTGTTGCTCGGCCGCCATTTCTCACCTGCCATAAACAGATTCGGTTATTTTCGACCGTTTCAAAGGCCTTCGGAGTTTGGAGGTATCGATACGTCGCTTGATAGTCATAATTCAATCATGAAACGATGAAATGCAGTGTTTTTTCGATAAAATATTATGAGAAAAATCTATTTTGAAATGATAGAGATCAACAGTTTATATGACTTGTCCACAAAGCAAACTGCGCGTGCGTGGGACTAGCGTGACCGCGCGTTTTATGTTAAGACTGGGGAGAATTTCGAGAAATTTATTTATAACATTTTCTAATGATTATTTATCTTTTTTATTTCTATGATTAGCGTGATTTTTACTAGAAAAGATATTTGAGATAGTTAGTCAATTATTTCATATGTAACATTTGAAGAGATTTCAATTTACTGTACGTTCATACGTGTATGAAATTGTATGAAAAGCGTTTAAACTAAATCTCTAAATTCCATTTCTCTGCTAGCAAATAAATGACAACCACATAGAATGAAAAAAATTAACATCGTTTATTAAAACTGCGATTTGTTGGTCCACTCCAGTGGTCAATCGCATACCGAGATCAGTGAACTAACCCTAAAATTGTCGGGCGGAATAATAGGTAGGCTGATGCAGGTTGGATGGACTTTGGAGCGCACAACAAATGCACGTGCTGTTGTTATGGTTCGAATCAAAGACTGTTCATTCGGTCACGCTATATATATGATAGTAGATAGCGTTTAACTTTGTTTGCCTGAAAAATAAACTAAATATATTATTTACAGGCTGAAAATTATGGCTTCCGATACAGACTGTTATGAATTTCCTAAAGAAGCTGGCTTGTATTCTCCTGACTACGAGAAAGCCGCTTGTGGAGTCGGTTTTATAGTCAATATAAATGGCGCGCGAAATAATGAGGTATTGTTGTTTAATATCGGCGGTTTCTCTGTGTTGTAATAGGAATTTTATCGTCTTTTTTATGTTTTTATTACGTCTTGAAATAGCTGTTTTAACGTAGGTCTAGTGTAGACGGTTGTTGTGTATAAAGTATTATATTTTGTGCTGCAAAAGCGCTTTTGAAGTTGACAGCTGGCGCGATATTACTTTGAAAATATATTAAGCCGTCGCTTGAAATGTCGAGGTACTCCTTGTATTTTTTAGGGAGTTTGTATCTCTTTCAATGCACAGCTTTCGTATTATCGTCGTGACCTACAATTGCATAGAACCGTTCTTTTAAATAAGTCGAATTTAACAGTGAATTCTGTTTGTAGTATTTGAATGAAATGGCAGTTAACACAGTGAATTAAATATTTGCATAAACGTGCTTTGTTTTGAAGCTATTAAACAGTCATTTAAATGCTTTTTATGCCTTAAAATACTTGCTTAATTAAAACATAAAGCTATTGTGAATGGCTTTAGTATGTAAAGTGTTTTATGTGTGGGGAAAATGCATTCAAAACAGTCAAATTTTGAAAAGTACGAGTGCATAAAAATGAAACCTTTTTATAACTATTGAAAATGAAACGGGAGTCACTCAGGGGAAAATCCTGAAGTCATAAGGTCACAGTTTTGTGAGAAAACGATATATTTTGATTATTTTTAATCCTTTTCCCATCCGAAGGAGCGAGTTCTTTCCCACTGAAAACCATATGGCGTTTATATAAATGCAGTACAAAACAAACACCAAAAAGGTTAGAACTTGAAGTTTCAAATTGAAACGAGAAAAAGACTCTGCTTTGCCTGTATTCAAATTTGTGTTCTTCGTTGTTTGCGGTTGAAAAAAGCAAAAGCAAAGTTTGTACAAGACAATTATGAGCTGTGTACTTAATAATACTGTATCAGTATTAATGATATGTAATTTAATTCATTTGCCAATGAACCGTGTAATTGACTTATTGAAAACAAATTATTAAATATTTAAAAGACACTTCAGTTTCTGCTAGCTTGTGCACAGACTGTATATGCTGTAATACATAGCACAATTTAAAACTGTATTAAATATGACCTTAACTGTATTTTAAAGACTGTATTACAGCATAATACAGTCTGTACACAAGCTAGTTTATGTCAACATAACAGACTGCAGAGTTGTGTTGTTTTCAACGAGATTTTGGGGCAGAAAAGTTTATACTAAATCTAGGTGTGAGCACATTCGTGGGGTAGTCAAGAGGTAGTCAAGGAAACATTCATTAACCAAATGAACCGAACTAGCCACTAAAACAATGCAAAGTGTTTACTTTGAAAGAAATATATAAATAAATATAGCAAGAAATATATTCATAAGTAGGTGCCCTGGGAGGGGGGGGAGGATTTTCCTTGCAGGAATTTTTTTGAGCTTTATCTAACTTTTTTTATAGTGTAGAAACTGTGCATGAATCTTTCTCTATATATTTCTGTTGATGCCATGTAATTGCAGAATTTTTCACAATTCCACTCTTTGCATGAATTTACTTCAATGGGGATCTGCCCCCTTGGAATGGTTTTTTGGGGGGATAGGTGTGCACTCCTGTCATTATTGGCAGAGGGGATGCAGGGGGGGGGGGCAATTTCCTTAGTTATCAAATCTGACTTTTAGGAAAGGCAAAATACCAAACAGAAATAAAATAGAGACAAAATAAGATTGTGGTTATGAAATTGTCATTAATTACAGACTAGTGCCTTGCTGTTGTACATCCCTCCAGTGATTGGTTGATGGTTGCATCTTGAACTATCAGATGAAAGCTCAATAACCCCCCCCCC